TATGAGCCGGGCGCCCCCCGACCGGCGACCATAAATAACCCGACGATGCGAAAACCGAGAGACGATGACAAATGCACTGTTGCCTCATTGGCATTGTTGTTAACCGCTGCAGAAGAGTGCCATGAAATCGGTATTGTGGATCGGCGTTCGAGACTAGGGAGGATGCATTCCGCGGGAGCGGCGAAAATGAATCACGCACCATTAAACTCGTATAATTAACGAGTCGATAATTTCGGTAATTACAGTGGCACAGACACCCAGCACTGGTTAGAGATGTGAGGTTCCCGATGTTGACGTGATTCTACCCATAATAATCGCCCAAATATTACTCGTGCGTGAATTATGAAAATCCTGGAAGTTTTTCAGATGGGAAGTTCTCACGGGTGTTCTCATAAAAATGATGGACATCATAACATTGTGAGTGGAGATGACGTGTGATTGTTACTTCCATCAGCGCATACCAGCGATGGTAATGAAGTAATGGCACATTAAAAATGACAAAGAGCAGCCTATACATTTTCATAATAGGTTTATTACACGCAGTTGTATTAAGAGTATTGACATGAAAAGTATTTCCACTCTCGTTAATATATGTAATAAAAAGAACTAAACCTGATCAGTCAATTAATCCGTTAATGAGCTTATGATGTAGGTTGTTTTTTACTGAATTGGAAATTTTCTTCTGGCTTCTTCTATTTTTTCGGCTGGAGACGGACGGCTGGCAGGGTTTTTGAGCGGAATAACAATGAAGAAGCCGTATAATTTCAGGCGGGTGAAGAGGACGGGGCCGCAGCGAGAACCCTGTGGCACACCTCGCAAAGCTCATGGTCCTTACCCCTTGTTACGCAAGTCCCGCTATAAAAACGCCATTAAACCGGAGACACGCCACGTTTCCTTTTGACATTTCAACGTCGTAAATATACGATCGCAAATGCCTCGGTAAATAGTTGGTCGTTTGATGTTTATTGATATTATGACCACAAATAACTCCGTCTAAGTGATTATATTTGTACGTCGATGTCCGGATGATTTACGACAAGTAGAAAGAAATCCGTCGGTCGATCGCGCGACCACTCGCTCCGAATTAACGCCAGCATCAGTCACCTCCGCCGAAATCCGGCCTTCCTGGATCCGTCCCGAGATTTTAATGACAGCCCGATAAAGTCGGAATTCCTGCGAGAAGTCGAGCCGCGTCTCGGAATCGAGCCGTTCGTGACAAAGAGATGCTCGTCAGAGATACGAAACACTTTCGATGGACGACACGCACCCGAAACGAACCCTCCGGACGAATATGACTTACAAGAGCGATCCGGTGTTTACGATAATTGGATTGGTCTTTCGAGCCGGATTTACGAGTGGCGAAACGCCAGATGGTGCTATCGCGACACAATGCCTCTAATTAATTTCGCTAATTGCGGCTAACTGTACACGGCCGAAATCGCTGTCTGATGAGCGGAAAGATTTATGGAATTTGGTTAGGTTCCTTCTGTAGGAACGTCACAACAAGGCGGCGACATAAAGAGGAGCAGAAACCAAAATAAAAATCATTTACGAAAATTGATCGGGTCTGGACGCGACAGTCGGGCTCACCAGACATGTTAGCCTGTCTTCGGGTAATGGATGACGTCCAAAAACTGTCATCCTCATTATCAGGGAATTATTTTCGATCGATCATCCTTTATGTGCGGCTCGATCGCTCCTCCGACTTCGGACGAGATTTCATTATTTATGGAAAAGTCGGCGGGGAAAGAATGGGTCCTGGACGTGATCTTTGGGGCGAACAATTCGACGGAAATTTGAAAAATTCGCCACTAGTAGCTAGATTATGGTAATTCCGGCATTCCGAGACACGAACGACAGATAAAGAAACTGGAGATTATTAAAATAGTTTAATTCCAGTAATCTCCTTATGTAGATTGAAATATCCAGTTCTATTAATAAGCTGTGAGAAAAATTAACATAATGCATTGGCCAAGCGCGAAATCGATCGGAACGACAATCGTCGCCGCTATCTGATATCAAGATGGCGCCTTGTTTTTGTTTACGAAGTTGGGAGAAAATTTCCTCGTGGATGCTTCGGACCGGTCTTCGGGCGGCCGTTCCCGCTGCGGCGTTTCCTGGTTCTTCGGATTCCTGCTGCCCACACAGAGTACCGCCCGTACCGCTCCACATTTTTAATTGGATTTTAAGAAATCGCCGAAATTAAATCGGTAATACCGTAATAGAGTCGATTTTCAGCGAGCTATTATTAAGGAGCCGTAATCGCCACGAAATTTTAACGAGTGTCCCGCTGATACTATCTTTTGATTAAGGTTTAAATTAACAAAACAAAAACCGTATTTGATTAATTGATGTATAAATATTACGAAACGGCGCGCTCCCATCACGTTCGCACTAAATCAGGCGCGAAAAAAAATCGTAATAACAATAATAATAACAGTAAAAATGTGGTCTTTTTAATTAAAACGACGGCGCATTGACAGGTTGACCGACGATTCCACAATGCCTGTCAAAATACGCCGCTTCGCACTAATTGATCTCGAAATGTGTTATGACAAGGCCCGGCGATCGTCCGTTTTGGTGCATATTCCTTCCTCTTTTGCTCTTTTTCGGTCCGGTGTGACATGTTAATTCCAACCGGAGCGCGACTAGATAGGTGTGAATTCTTCGCCCTGCCTTCGACGCAACACATTTTCTTTTACTTTGGTTGAAACGTTGTACCTATTCTTGATATCGTTATCTAGTCGTCGAGCGGCTGGAATGAACTCAGTTTTGAAATAAACAAGTTTGCCGCTCGCGTGTAGGTGGTCGGACAATGGTTTGGTATTTCACCGACCGTACCACAGCGTCATGGTCGTCGTCCTCCCTCTTACACCCAATTAATTTGGCGAAAACGGAATTTATTCGATATTTTGGCGTTGCGGTTGACAATCGAGCGCCGCAGGAGGGACGATATTATCCGGTCGCATGCGAATCTACATTAACAATAAATTACGGTATTAAAATACCATCACCGTAATGGGTTCTTGCTGTTTGTAATGGCCGGCCGATGTGTTCATTCATAATTGCCGCTAAAGTTAAAGGGAAAACGCGTGGACGTTGTCTAGCCCGGAGCGCAGCTCCTGGAATAGAACACCCTGCAAATAACTTCCTTGGACGCGGAGGTCCGCGACGCCAACGCGAACCCGATAATTTATAGTGCCGTTAAGACGCGCTAATGCGATTCTGAGAATTTCGTCACGTAGGTCGCACCCGGGCGACGCAGCTGTACCCCAGAGCACGCACTGCGGCCCCATTCTATTCACCAATTGACATTATCGTGAACACTTTTCATTTTTATTTTCGTTATTTATGTTCAACTAGGTATTCGCATCGGATTAATCACGCTCCAAAATTTTTCCAATCTTCAACAATCCAATAATGTGGCTAATAATTTTAGGCTTCTGGATTTTGATAATGTCAACACTGGGCCACCTTCTCTAAAGGAACTCAATCGTATTATGCTATTTAGTCTTCGTAATTGCATAAATGAATCTCAGCATGGATTCCTTTGATAAAAAGCACCAAGTCAAGGTAATCTGTAAGGATTTTTCGAAAGCCTTAGACAGACAGGCTGACCTACGTTGAGTTGGTGGTTGTTTGTCATAGAGCTTTATTCATTTCGACAAGATCCATATAAGCTCGGGCGTTCTCCAAGGTTCTATTCAAAAGCCTCTTCCCTTCCTAGTCATTGACAAATAAAGGTTTCAGAGCAAGGGTTGATTCGTTTAAGGATTTGGGAACTATCTTCGTTACTATAATTTGATTTTGTAGTAGTTTAATAACACACTGTGCTTTGGTAGACCTAAATTAAAATTTATGTTAATACTCTTGAAAAAAATCCATACATGTGTTCTGACATTTTTAATATATAAGGATGATGGTGTTTATTGTGTTAGAGGAACTCCACAATCCAATCTTTTTCAAAGATTTGGCTTTAGTATGTATTATGAGATCGAGAGTTCGCAACCAGTAAATCAACTCTGTTTTCCTAAATTTTCTCGTTTCTCTTTGGAAACACCACTTATTAATTATCACAGAAATCTTTACAGAGAAAAATTATTGGCGTATTTAATAATAATAATAATAATGATAATCGCGGCGTACCTCAGGGCTCCGGTTGCGGTCCTCTGTTTCGTTGCCGGCCGCGAGGCCGAAAGCGCCCGGCTGAACCCTGACAGTAGATACTCTCCGTGGCGCTGATCCCCATTATGAGCGGTGTGAGTCAGCCGAAACGCTGACGAAGAGTGACGCCTCGCGACGTGGTGTTGTATTTACTCCCTTCGACACGTAATCACGCGCCAGGTGGCCCTGCAGCATCGCCTCCACGGCAGTAGACCTGGAAGGCGATGGCAATATCGCGATAAGCGCTTTCTATTAGCAAGCTCTAACATTGTTCACAGATTGAAGAGGATGACTATACAGAACGGTCCCGAGGATTTTTTCTTTGAGCATAATTGATTGTTCTGTTGGCGGGTGTGGCGCGATCCGGGATGAGCCTCAACGCGGCGAAGAGAGCGCCGAAATTCCACGACGTTGCCCCTTATCTAAACAAGTTAGGGCACTTAGGCCGCGGCATCGTGTGTCGGACGGCGATAGGTAAACAAGGTAAAAGGAATTGAGATGTGACCGCTCCCTTCGGGTTCACGATCGATCAAAGCGACACCTCGCGACCGAAAAGTCTCCACAAAAACGAGTAAATGATCCCACTTCTGATTTTTTGTGCGGGAGTCCCTTGTGGGAAACGGCCTTCAGGAGATAACTTTATTAGTGGAGAGAGCTATATGAATTAACTGGGGCCGTGGTACAGTCTCGGAAACCCACACAAGTCACGGATTTCGAACAGGTCGTTGACAGAAGGAAATTAGGAAATACTCAGGATCGTAAAAGTGCCAGAATATAAACAAATTTTAATTGACATGTCCACATTTGAAACGCTAATTCATTCATCGATAGCTTTTATTATATATTTAAAAATACAATTTCCATAAATAAATAAAGAGATCACAATGCGGAAACGCTTTTTTCCGTAATGTACGGCTTCTGAAACTCTATCTGCACAACCACAGACCGTTCCTAATCAAGTGTCCACCATGCGGTTAAACTTCACACATAATTAACTCATTCAAACATTAAACTCACTCTTCTTCTTGTAATTCTTCTCGCTATCGCAGTCGCCGATCAAGTACTGCTGAATTTCCTCCAACGTCTTGCCTTTAGTCTCGGGTACAAACTTCACTATGAAAATCAAACCGACACCCGTGCAGACGGAAAAGAACCAAAACGGCACGTACATCCCGAACTCGTCTTTAGTAATTTGGAACAACTTGGAAGCAATGGCACCCATACTAACCGAAAAAGTGTCAGCAGTACCCAAAGCGACGGCCTTCACACTCGTGGGGAAAAGTTCGCTTAAAACCGACACAGCCCCAAAAGCGAGTCCAATACTGAACAAAACGTTGTAAGCCACTAGAGAAGTAATCGGTAGCCAGTCAATACTCTCCACTACATGTGGGTACCAATCTTTCACGTAAAAATACGCAGCTAAAAAGAAAACGGAAACGCTGCATCCCACAGTCGACACAATCATCAAAGGTTTCTTTCCAAATTTGTCCACGACGAAAATGGCCACTAAAGTCGCCACTAATTCCACCGAGCAATAAATAATCGTCGACAAATCCGAACTGATGCGACTCCCCGCTTCCTCGAAGATCATCGTCGTGTAAAAAAGACAAGGATTCTTACCACTGAACTTGTTAGTCAAACAAATAATAACGTAGATCATACAAGCCTTTCTATTGCTGGCCACCGTAAACAAATCCGTTACTCTCGCTTTCTTGCTTTGTTCCTGCCTACTGACAGCTTTGCATAGCGTATCAAATTCGTCCTGTACATTGTCGGTACCACGCAGAACCACCAAACTCTGTTTCGCTTCATCCAGTCTATGCTTCTTTATGTAGTAGTACGGCGATTCCGGCATCAAAATAAAAGCAGCAAAGTGGATCAGAGGCACGAAAGCACATATAATCGACGACGTAAAGATAGAGTACATCTGACCGATGATATTAATGAAGAGAGTACCAGCAATTCCCGCTATCGTCGGCGTGGAGGCGAGCAATCCCCTAATTTCGGGGTCGGCAATTTCGCCGATGTACATCGGTAGAACCGTGTATAGCGCTCCTTCGGTGGCACCAATCACAAACCGGATGGCCGAAATCACCCAGATCGAATCGGCAAAAGCAATCCAGATAAAAGACAAGAAAATGATAGGAGTCATGAGAAGAGTTGTGTTTTTGCGGCCGATTACATCTCCGAGAATTGCGGCGAGGAGGGCACCCACGGGCGAACCCAGCAAGGGCATAACGGCGCACCACGAGCCTTCATCGCTGCTGGTAGGAATGGAAGAGTTGGTACTTAAAAGCTGAGGCAAGTACGGGGAGGTCCATCCAAGATTGATTCCCGAGGTGATGATAGAAAACGCCCCTGCAACAAGCCGTTATTTGCGCTCTAGCAAAAAATCAAAAGTAGTACCTGATAGGGTGGCCAAGTATTGGAAAAGCCGGCCGCGGTTTTGTGAAGCTTGCATTCTGGTTGGTTGGATGTGGTTTGAACGAACCGTCGCGGACGGTTTCTTAAAAAGGAAACGGGGAAGTAAACACGGACTTAATTAGGCAAATAAATTAATCCTTCGACAAATTGACGTTTATTTACGGAAATAATTCCAGAGTCAATAGGATTTAGTTAAATCCGTTTAACTCCTGCTCAAATAGTGGAATTAAAAATATTTGCAGGTGACTTTATGGAATTCTATTTCTGGCCTTGCGGGTCATCGGGGTTAAAAGTAGCGACGGCTCGGCTTTGTTATTTCTTGAAAGGAAATTATTATTATCGTGTCCGGTCAACTAACGCTTGCCTTATTTGACGGTGTTTGAACCATTATCTCTGCCCGAGGCCGATCATAGCTGATTGCATTGTTGCAACTGGGTCAGTGGGGACGAATGCTGGAAGGTTCTCACCTCAACACGTCGAAAAAATTACAACCCAATCGGGTACTTCAATGGTACCAACACGACTAAACTCCGTGGTCCTCGCCGTGGAAAATTTTTCTTCTTAATCTTCCTCAAATATTTATCCTTCTTTCTTTTATTGTCACAACTATTACGTGACCTATTTTAGCAAGGGAACAATGCGGTTTCTGGTAGTCACGGAAATCTTGTACCATTAACGTGGATTAATGTGTATCGTTTTGCGTCAGCTGCTGAAGAAGCGATTCTATTTTGGGAAGTTTGTTGTTTCGGGAAAAATTTATCACGCGTTTTTTGGGTGGACTTTTGAAAAGCAAAGGTTAGATCCTAGTAGTTCCACGGCGAGTCGGATTCGCGATCGCATTTCAGAGTATCCACTTGTAATTGTTATGTGCTATAAAAACCTGTACCGACATGTTGTCTTCCATCAAGCTCCATTCGTAATTGTGTAAACCAGCTGTGCGAATTCACTGCAAATGACTTAATCTGCACATTTCTCCGAAACAGTAGAAGACGCGAGAGTCTAGTTTAGATTGAAATCTCGCCGATCGTCAAGGTTTTTGACCAGAACGAGCGTTTTTTCGAAAAATCGTCTCTCCTAATCGATGAGTTTTGATGTACGTTGACAAGCGTACCACTGCGTTCATCCATAAATGTATCAATTGCGCAACGTTCATTAGTTATTAAAACAATAATGGTAGCAACGATGCTCCGTCCTTGTTGGACAAGTGTGCACTTTGTGGAACATTACCATTACAAGTGTTAGACTCCGGACGAGTCTTTTTCTCTTGTCCGCTGCCTTACAAGTAGAGTTTTTAAACTGTAATTGCGAAGTTTACTGGTTCGAGCATACGGGATTTGTCGAGGTGGTCTTCTGGATTGATTTATCGCGTATGCTATGCGCAATTATACCATAATTAACTTCTATCGTCGACTTTTTTCCCTCCCGACCGCCCCGGAAACTCGTATGAAATTAATAACATACTCTGTCATTAGTATTCTCACTATTTGTTCATGTACTATTATGCATAAGGTTTTTTTTTCTGAATATCTAATCGACTTTTTCCGAGTAAAACAAACAAGTCGATCCCGCAGACATGACACATGAAGGCCCTAATTAGGCGCTGAATGCGGACAGACGCTCATTAGGATGCAGAAGGACATTATCTCGGACCCGAAGCGGCTCTATCACCTAAGTACCGAAAGCAATACAGATCCGAACCATAAATTATCGTACACGTCACGTTTTGATTAGCCCTACCAGGAACGCATTCGACTCGTCGCGTCGACAGTCGAATCGATTTCGCTATCGCCACCATCTCCATTTATCGAGTACGGTCCATCGAATTCCGTCAAAGTCGAGACGATGCTACGCCCACCGCCGGATTTTTTCAGAATGCAGCAGCATTTTTTAATTTAAGAAAAAACTAATCGAAGCGGACTCGTCCGATCGCCTCGATATTGATATAACTATATTAAGTCTTAAGTGGTACTGCTGATGGACGATACGGACCTATTAAGGACGCCGTGAAAAATGTCGCCATTATTTCGCGACCGCCGGCCATAAATTTCGTTCGAGATCTGGCAAGATGCAGCAATTAAAAAACTCAACAGTTGAAAAAGACACCATCGAAAAACCCAACCAAAACGACCACCACGCGCTACATTTCCCCGACGCGGCTATGAATAACGTCCTACATTTTTATTGACGTTTATAATAGATCGGCGCACATTCAGCGGTCGTTTACGATAAAATATAGCGCCATCTGGAGGAGGATTTACGGTTGAACATGAGCGCCCATCCGAATATGATATAGCGCGTCCGGAACGGGGTGACTTTTCTTACTCGCTGTCTGGGTCCTTCCGCTGATCGCGCTCGATCGTAAATATCGCGTAAGCGCTACCCCCGGGGCCAGTATTGTAATGATGCTAATAAGTTACCGATTACAGGGTTTGGCGATCGTAATGTCCGATCAATTCACCTCGGATCGTCCCTCTTCGTCTGACGTGAGCCATCGACACTCGACGCCACTGCCTTATCGATGAGGGTGTGTCTGCACAGTAGCGCGCCCCGGGCTCAACACGCGGTTGCACTTTTATGCAAAATATCTGCGCCGGCAACCCCTCGGCTAGCCTGATTATCGGCCAAACAGATTTTTTACGCTGGCCACTGAAACTAGCGCATCCGGACACATAATACACGCTTTTGCACACTCCCTAGGGGACGCACATACATTAATTCCACAAATGTAGTACACACAACGTTTATGTCAGTCTTTTCGTACTACCAGTACGACTATGTACACACTAGAAAGACACATTTTTTGTGACTTTGGCAACCCTTGACGATCACCTAGAGGTATGAAAAATATAACAATGAACAAATATGAATGCAGGTATAAATGAGGTAGAAATATCGCCGGTATGCGGACCACTATACTATCAGGCGTCGCGATTATCTCTCGTCACTTTCCACGTTCCACGTAAAGATCCTCATCAATCCGTGATAGACGACGTGTGTCGGTTTGAAATTTACGTAAATGTCAGGGTTGTATTCAGGAAAATAATTAAAATGCATTCTTACATACACATGCAGCAAGGACCCTTACAGACACTTACATATAAGTTTGCGCTGACATTCAAATAGATGTGACAAGACTTCAACAAACTGCCTCGCCTAGTTGACAATTATTGCAAACTATCTTGTACAATTATTTTAAGTATGTCGGGTCGGGACCTTTGCTCGTTCCGCCTGCTTGATTTTAATGAACAATCTTGTCCTATATGTAACAAGTCGGGAGCTTCGCTCGCTCTATCGGTTTCTGACTTAGTATTTAACATCATATCAACAAAAACAGAGAAATCAGAGAAACTCTATTAACTTTGCTAAATTTTGCATATTCAACTAGGGACTAGTAATGGGAGCATAGAGAGTATTGTGTCTTGCTGTCTTGGCCAGTTCTGAGGGGCTCTGATCCGTTTGGTCGTATTAGGGTGTGAGGGGTATTTTTGTAGTCTAGACGGTGGTTTAGCTGCAAGTCAAAGCTCTTAAACGGCGTTAAAGATAAAGCACAATGGTTCGCATTGTTTGCTTAGCCACGGTGTTGGGTGCCTATTGAAACAGAACGAGACTCGCTGGCTCCGACTTGTGGAAACAAGTGTTAAAGAATATGGTAGGTAAAGTAACACCTTCCATTGTTTCAAGTCAAAACGGCCCACAACCGCGAACAATATCATAAGCATTATGTTAAATCTTGACCGTCCGTATCTGCATACAAAAACGGCCGTGAGAGAGCGCTCCGGATTTACATGTGCCAAAATCGTATTCAAATGTCGTCTCGTCGGATAGATAGGGGCACGAAATTTGCAAACAGTGAGCGCGTTCGACCCCCTCGTTCTCTCCGAGAGAGGCAATAATTTCGAACGCCAGCATAAACTCCCAGTTCAATGCACATTCAAATTAAGTGCGCCGAAAAGTCGCCGTCGCCAAACTGGTCGCACTACATCTACCCAATTTCACAGTCATTAATTACGATTCCAAGCGTACAATGCGAATTCTCCCTGCTGCAGCCGAGCGATTGAATTTTCCAATTAGAAAGCGTGATTCTATCGCGGCATTAATGCCTACGTATAAGTATCGGCCGTAATTACCAGTTAGTGATAAATCAATTCGCATGCTCTCGCAGTTCCGGACCTCCGGACCCGAATCCGGAGCGCGCGAGCGCGCTGGGACGTTGACCCGCCGATAGATGGCGCTGATACGCGTCGTCGACAGCGTGGGCCACGCGATGTCGCGCTCTGCTAATATATGTCCAACGTCGCCGTTCCGTTGTCCATTAAAGTAACGGAATCGGACGACGCATCGATATTGTACGGAATTCTAAAGTGCATGTTTGGATTTACGCAATCGTTTTTTATCGAGCTTCACACATCGATAATGGATTGGGACGTGAGGAGATTTATTTCGACGGACGGCGCCACCGAACGAGAACTCCGAATAGCTGCCACGGCGGCTCCCAAAATGTGGTGCGAGAGAGAATTTTCGAAATAGAAGAGAAACGCCACATTTATCATCTTTCCAACCGTATACCGTTTTTGAAAACAATTGAAAAGATCTTGAGAACCTCTGGTGTTTTGGGTTTGAAAGAATCTTTGAGGATTCTAGTGTCTTGCTAAAGATTGTAGAAAAATCTTAGAAGTCCCTGCAACTCCAGCGCATCGAATAATTTCAAGTCATCAATAAATAGCAAAAATTTTGAAAACGAAACTAAATAGGTTGATAATGCGACCCTTGAGGGACTCCAGATGATATATTATGTAAGTTTTGAAAAATGCTTGGGGACCACTGGTTGAGGAAAGGAGGTACGAAATGAATCGTCTCTTGCAACAACCAGAGCTAAAACGTGCGTTTAGAAACGTCAGAAAAAGTTTGCGCGTTATCACAAAGAAGTTTCAAATAGGTAATTGTTTCATAATTGCGGTCAAAAAAGAGCGTTTGAAAGTTCTGCGGGTCTTTAATCGCTCGCAATAACACATATTTAAGTGCCGACGTTCACAAATAGCAGCAGAACGTCTGCTTTTTCGCGATTTTTCGCGTTTCCCTCTGCGAGCGCTGTATCCAGCGGCACCGTATTATAATTAAACAAGATCCAGGTACGGCCGGCTCTGTCTCTATTCTAGTAATAATTGCATCAGCATCCATCTTGCTCATTTGCTAACGACTCGGCTCTCCGTCTCCGTCCTGTGCTCGCTCTTCGTGGCGGACTTCTTCTTCTGCCATCAGTAACCGCCGGTAATGATGAACCTCCCACTTCAGACATGCGGTATAATCAGTCATGTCCTGGCAAACACCTATAAACTCACTTGACCAAGACTTTGATATATTATTTGTGTGAACAACACAAGATTAAAAACAGGCAAGATTTGTTCTTTAAACTTGTCATGTTCCTTCTCTTGTACTCTTTCACACCTCCGGTTTTTCGTCGACTATTATAGCGACACCAGTGTCTGATTAATTTTTTTCCGTTGCAGGTTTCGGCGACCGATCCCGACTGCGGTGTCAACGCCATGGTCAACTACACGCTGGGCGACGGCTTCGCCAAGCTCAAGGAGTTCGAGGTGCGCTCCGGCACGGGAGAGGTCTGCATCACCTCCAGCTTGGACTACGAGACCAGGAATGTGTACGAGTTTCCGGTCATCGCCACCGACCGAGGTAAATCATTTTTGACAAGAAAAAAATTAGATTCTTCCATACACAAACGCCTCTGACGCTGCACTCGCGCGGCTGTCGACGGGAGTCACGCAAGGCGACACTTCGGGTCCCACTCTGTCCCGTTCCGGAATTTCATCGGAATCCGCGGCACCGCGGAAACCGACCGTGAACGTTCCCCATAACGCATTAACTATTTATGAAGTGCAAAACGAGGAGAAGGAACAAAGCGAAAATCACGATGTCATTCCTCTTCGCTCACGAAAACGTGCCTAGCCTTTTCAGCAGCGCCGGTGTGTTGAGGTGATCTAAACTAATCGCTTTAAGCTCGCTGTAATTGGAAGGATTAATTATGTCGACGGGTTTGCATACGTATAACTCGAGAATAGAAGAACCGTCTCGCCTTTTTTCGTGTTTCACGCCGTGTTCCGGAAGTCAACCGAGAAAAATTACACCGATGTGAATAAATATGGAGCGACCGGCGGACATAAATCATCGCGCGCGCGGATTTTCGAAATTGAAAAGTCCAGAACATGAGGAATGGCTAGTAAGACGTTTACCGTAATATTTTCCATAAAATGCGCAAGATTAACGATTCGATGCTTTCCACTCAACATACCAGGTCGTGCAAGAGGATTATTATAATCATTTCCATATAACGGTCACCCACAAACTAATGGACCGGCGAAAATGTCTTGTCGTCGCACCGGACCACTTACCCTAACGCGTAATTTTCATTCTATCGTACCATAGCAAGACACTGAAACTAATGCTCGTAATAATCCAGAGATCCTTATCTTCAACAGTTCGTTCTGAGGAGTTCCAGGTCGGTTCTGGGGACCACAAGGTTCCGTTTTAGACCCCTTATGATTCATCGTCATGTTAATGACATTGCATCATTTGAAATATTATTTCTTGAATGTATTAGTGGTAATGACGTTGACTTGGCAGTCATTTCAACAATGTTATTTATGATCGTATATTCACTGACAGAACAAGTCCAAAACTAACCTGACAATCCCGGCCTTAAAATAATAATAACACATTTTTTATTTCAGGGGGCCTGAGCACCACCGCCATGGTAAAAATACAAGTGACGGACGTCAACGACAACCGCCCCACGTTCTACCCTCGCGTCTACAACGTCTCCCTGCGAGAGGGAGGGGCGTCGTCGTCTGCGACGACGCCGGTGGTGGTGGTGGCCACCACCGACCCCGACTCCGGGCGCTACGGGACGGTCACTTACAAGATCGTGGCCGGGAACGACGCCGGACTTTTCCGGATCGATAAGAACACGGGGGAGATCTTCGTCAGTCGGCCCAATTTGCTCTCCACAAGGAGCCAACCGTACCATCGTCTCAACATAAGTGCTACCGACGGCGGAAATCTCAAATCGTTAACGGATGCCGAAGTGTTCATCAGCGTTATTGATTCAGCGCAGCGACCGCCCATTTTCGAGCACCCCAGATACACCTACTCGGTGAAAGAGGACGTGAAGAAGGATACCGTCGTCGGGAATGTGAAGGCTACCGTCCGGGATTCCGGTAAGTTTTGGAGCACGTGTTAGAGTATTCCGTGTTTTGCTTGCTCCGTTTGGGCATATTTGCGGCGTCCTTGAACCTGCGATGCTTTGCCTCCCGGCGCAACCTTAGTGCCGGTGATGGAGCAAAAGAAAAAATCCGATACGTAGAGGTCGGAGCAATTCTCTTTCAACCATTACATCTAGATAGAGAGCCGTATATTATATTGTAAAACGGCGGAAAAATGACAATCACGCGTTCGTGTTTACAGTAACAACCGCAGTGATAAAAACGTGTACCGTTGTATGTGGATATGGTGCCTGGAATAGAGAATGATCGTGGAAGGAATGCATGTGCACGTAAAAACGGTCGAATTTCTAGGCAAGAAACGACGTAATTGGTGGCTGATGGCAGTTGCCGACCACGACATTTTTCACGAAAGATCGTCAGAGTAGCGGTCTCAAATTAGCCACGAAATAAAACAAAAAGCGTTTTTTCGCTACCCGCGAATGATTACCAACCGCAAAGTATACGGTCAGATAAATAATTCAAAGAAAGCCGTAAAAAATAAGACAAGGAGAGTTCGGACGAAATTGTGAGAAAACGGTAACGGCGTGCCTAAAGCCGACGCAAAATCCATAAATCGCCTCACTACCATAAACGTGCCCATGAAAATCCGTCGTCCAATCGAGTTCGGGTAGGTTTGATATTTTCGCAAAAAGACAGCGATCGTTAAGTTAATGAAGGCCGTGGTTCTTGTGTGTCGTTAGGTCGAGTTTACGACGGTTTTATTACTTATTCCTTGTTGAATTGCAATTTAAAATCAAATGAAACATAAAATGTAATGTCGCCTTTTTTCGTTCCCGCGTTTATAGAGTAAGGCTCGGTGCGCCCGCTCTGAAAGGCCGGCCTTCGAAGATGAGTTAATTACAACAACGAGCTTATTAGTAAATGCTCGATCTTTGGTACAAACCTTTTTCCTTTTTAACTACTGTATTAAAACAAGGCCAAGTGGAATGTGTTTACACAGACTTTTCAAACGCTTTCTTCTTTCAAAACTACAGCACTTAAGTCATACTTAAGCGGTCGCTTCAATATGTATTCTATTGTAGCGTCAGGAGTACCTCAGGGTTTTAGGGTACTAATATTGTATTTTTTTCCGGATTATGGTTGTGGTCTTTCGTGTCATATTGTCCCCCTCGCCAAGAAATATGGCTCCACGAAACCTCCGTGAATACCACAATCGTGTAATTTTCGTCGGATGTCAACCCGCACCTCCGGCATCATCCATCTTTGCGCGGAATTATGTAATCGCGCGACCGGAGTTTTATCTCAGTCTAACATGCAAACTTGTTTAAATAAAGATATCAAATTAAAATTAACCGTTTTCGTCAGATAAAAAGTAACACCTCCATTAGCCTAATATGCAAAGTAACACGTCAGGTGTCACTAATGACTATATTTCATCCAATAACCATCCGACTTGGTACAACAATGACCAATTTAGCATTGTAATGGGACCATTTTAGAATCCCGTCTGTATGATAATTTTTTTCGCGCCTGCCGGAGAAAACCTCCAGCTACTTCCACGACGACGTGAGAACCGATTCGGTTTTCAATTAAAATAAACAACGGCCGTGCATGTCCCATTAAGGCAGAGCGGTAGCCGGGAAACGCCGTGAAATAAATGAATACTACTGAAACAATGACCACATGGGCGGACAACGGCGAGAGACAGGACAATAGTAGGTATTGAAGACCGACACGCCGGATTATTACCGTGCAAATGTGGCAGAATGCGAATACAGGACGATTTGCTGCTTGCCGGTCATTACGTCGATACAACATCCTTCACACCGGGAAAAATAGACTGTCTATATCACAAACCAATCATATATACCTTCGCGCCGGACGCCCACACCGCCGCTAAACCTGTCCTACTCGATTTTTCCGCGGCCGAGGAAATACCGACGCACACTTTTGACTAATTAAAGCCGATATAGCGGTTTCGTGGAAAATAAAGAACCGCGATGGGAGTCTTGTGGAACGCCGAAAAGTGCTTCCGCGTTTTTGCGTTTGCGGCATAACGAGCGATTCTGCGTCCGTTTTGCGTACCATTAATTCATGAATAATAATAACAATTCGTTTATTTCCAACAGGAAAACCCAATTACAGGAAATATAAAAAATAAATTAATTTAGAATGGGTGGCTGCATGCATTGGAAGCTAAAATTTTAGCTGTTCGGTTTTTTTGACAATTTCTTCCACTGCTTCCTATCCGCTTCTGTTCGTTTTGCTCTGTTCCAGTCACTGTTTTTACGTTTTAATTAACTCTTCATCCCATGTCTTCCTTGGCATTACTCTTGCCTTTTTGTTTGTTGCCGCTTCCTGCTGGTTTTGTCTTCTATTGATTATACACCTAGTCTTCCCCTTATGTCTGTTTCTCGTTTTTTCCATTTTGTAAACACCTAGAATCCTCCTGAAGAACCATATTTCGCTAACTCTGAATAGTACTCTATTGACAAGAGTAATACACACACCACATCTCAGTGCCCAAAAAACCTGCCGCATATTATACTCTTTACCCGGTCTTCGCAAACTAACCACCTATTGGGCCAAGCTGCATCTTTCAAGCGGACGCGGTCCTAGATTAGAGGTCCATTGGAGTCTAAGTGTCAGGATAATTTGAATTTGATTGTATTGTGTGATGTTCTAAGAAAAACGTTTGCGATATTCCAGCATAGTGCGGCAACTGGGTACCTGCATACCGCTGCAGTTTACAGAGACCTTTCTTAAGCCTTGCGAAAGATCCGTTGCAGTTAATATGTAGGGATTAAAATATTTTCTCCGTCCGCCGCAATTTACATTAGGCAAATAAACGGTAACTTTTCGTATTAGTAAAAAAAGTGTTTTTTGTAGTACAACATTTCCTGACATACCTACTTAATAACGTATTAATATTTAATATCTTTTCTTTATGAGTGGTTGTCAGCTAATAAAATGGCCAATTAGTAACGACATTAACAGGTTTTATTAATTCAATTAGGTTATAGTTTCGTGTTCGCATAAAACATTCGAACGTCGCAAAAAAGCCCCACGCCCGTCTCCCTCGTCGAAAAATCTGCCATTAAAACCACCACAAAAAAAATACTCCGTCTACATCGGAACGCAGAACGTCCTCGAATGAATCACCATCTGTACCCACGCGGACCTATTGAATCGAAAGTCGGAAAAAAGATCGAAACGAAAAAACAAACCTTTCCGAAAAGAGTCCCCGGCATTAATTAAACGTATATACTGCGTATAATAAATACCCCGTCGCTTTTTGTTTGTGCGGATTTGTAAAGGACCCTTATTAGCATTTAGGCAAACGAACGCTGGCTTGACAGCGCCACAAAGCCCAGTGAGGGGGCAATTATCCGGAGGGATGTGTCTCCGGCGGCCATTGTATTCCGCGACCAGCGGCGCCCAAAATGTCCCGTCGATGGGCACGAACGCGCGCCATTCATAATCCCGGTACAAATTTATTCAAACGCGCTGATTGATTTAAATACCGTGCCACAAATAAATGATGGCCGTGAAACCGGCACCGCGCCGAGAATCCAGAACGACAAGGTCGATAAATATAAAGGAGAGCGGTTTTCATCGGACGGTCCACCGTTTGGTCGTCGCGACAGCAGCCGTCGATTTATTGCATTGCTGAAAAGTTGGTTTGCTGTTTGAAACCCCCAAAACCTCGCCGGACGGGTCTCCGCGAGGCGGAGGCCAAGGGGGGCGGCGACAGACGAGCGCGCCGCAACTCCGCTCGCGACAGACAGCGATGCATTGCCATGTCGATTTTTGGGAGATCGGGGCAACGGGGGAAGGATTTTTGTAATGAGCCTCGATCGACATCTCCGATATCTGAGAAAGGGGAATGCGTACCGCAGATGCGAGGAGTGCCGCAGAGCTCGGTCGCGGACCCCTTGCCATTCACCGTAATTTATACACAAAACACCAAATAGTATCCGTATAGTACTGTGACGTGTGTCCAAACTCCGTTTATTGGTAATAAATTATCTTTATCAGTATCATTATCATTAAGCACCCACGAGAAGGAGTTTTGCAACCGTTCGACGAATGTGGAAGGCGAACCGCTGCACAATTATTACTCGAGCGCGTAAAAATTGCTCGTAGATTTTTCCCGCGATCATCTCGCTCGTCCGCGATCCCTTATCTGCAATTAAACGTGACGCAATAGAGGCGAACGGACAATGAAAGGATAAGGCGGACATGTGGGGCTTCCTCCTGCCTTATCCTAATACAGTCAATTTATATTAGTTATTTTTTCCAGGAAACAAAACACCTAAACAGCTCCGGCATTCACGGCGCAGCGCGAACATAAAGCCGGTTTACGGTGAGCTAATCTGTGTTCCTTTGAATGTAATAGTATTTCAAGGAGCAAAGCACTAATAGTGATCGTTGTTATCATCATGGGAGGTATCCGTTTCGTAATTTATATTTTTCGCGACTAAATACCGGCGAGCACCGGTGACTAATTGCTTCCCCGTTGACCCAATTAGGACCGGAATATTAATCGCATTCTTCGGACTTAGCCCTAACCCTCCTTCCGCGTTTCTAGACAGGGCACCGAACAAAAACAAAATGACATTCTTGGAGCGACCATTCAACACCTCACGTGCACCAGCGTGAGATTCATTTATTTGATTCGGTTGTGACTTTTATTAATTACGGTCCTTTTGTTTTCTGGGCTCCGTTGGGAGTCATTGCTTGCTTTCGATTTGATTTTCTTCGTGTTGGATGTAAGAGCGGCGTGCCGGGGATTCTTCGTTTGCCGACTGAATAAAAAAAGATTTATGCACTTTAATTATTTAATTGCCACGTGAAATATTCCTTCGAAGGCCTGTTCTTTTTTCCCTCCATTGGTCTCTTCCACCGTATTCCGGCCTGTTCTTTCATATCCACACAAAAGACGAATAAGTGTCCGTAATTAATTGTTCTCACGGAGGCCAATTAACAACCGGGTCTTTATTTATAAAAAGAGCCGCATTTCCTGATCCGAAGGATCGGCGGCAATAAATTTTGCCACCTGACAGCCAAATGCTCACCGCAGATTTGAATTCGCTTGTCTTCGTTTTCAAGCAGTACAGTCAATACAAAAGACCGCCGATTTTGGGCAGACAGCCTTGGGACTGAGGGCCGTCATCTTCAAAATCAGGGCTCTCCATAACCACGAGTCTGACGAAAAATGTGTAAGAAACTTTTTCGCAGATAATACTATTGTCTATAACTTTTATTAATAGCTTTTTCGCGTATAATTAATAATAAAAAAATTATGAACCTAAAATAAAAAAAACTAGGGGACGAAAAATTCTGACCCAATTGGTGTATTGTGTGCTCAGTGCTCATTTTTTTTTTCTTTTTTCAGGTGACTACAAGAACGTCCGCTACTCCATCTACTCCGGGGACCCGGAGGGCTTCTTCCGCATCGACTCCTCCACCGGGGTGATCAAGACAGCCGCCCCCTTGGACCACGAGACCCGCAGCAACGTCCTCCTGAACATTCAGGCCACCAACGGGGATCCTCCCGTGTACGGACACACTCAGGTCAACATTGAGATCCAAGATGTCAACGATAACGCCCCGGAATTCGAGTCGAACGTGGTCCGGATTTCCGTTCCGGAGAACGTGGATACGGGAATCGCCCTTTACGCCGCCCACGCCCGCGACAAAGACTCCGGTGCTAACGGCGTCGTGCGTTACAAGATCGTCAACAACGGCGCTACCGGGGGTCTGTTCAATGTTGACCCTAAGCTGGGTCACTTGACTCTGACAAGACATTTAGATTACGAAACGACCCAGCGGCACAGCTTGATTATAACAGCGACCGACACTGGAATTCCACCATTATCTGCCAACTTGACGGTGCTGGTTGAGGTGCAAGACGTGAACGACAATCCTCCGGTTTTCGAAAGGAACGAGTATAGCAAAACGGTCGAGGAATCAAGGGCGGTGAATTCGCAGGTGTTGCAAGTGACGGCGGTGGATCTAGACACGGGGAACAATGCAAGGTTGACGTATAGGTTATTGACGGGGAATAACACGGGGGAAGTGTTTGGGATCTTCCCGAATAGCGGGTGGTTGTATTTGAAGGGGAGTCTGGACAGGGAGAGTCGGGATAGGTATGAACTCACGGTGAGTGCGACGGATAATGGCACGCCGTCACAGAGTGCCACTGCTAGGGTAGTGATCCTGGTTAGTGACACCAATGATAACGATCCGAGATTCGTGAAGGATATGTATGAGTTCAACGTGGAAGAGAACCAGAGGAGAGGGAGCGTCGTGGGGATGATCGCGGCGACGGATGAAGATATCGGTGATAATGCGGTCATCAGATATAATCTCATCCCTGGGAATACCAGCTTCCAGATCAATCCCTCCAGTGGTAAGTCTTGTGTTGTTTCGGTACTAGTCGTACTGTAGAGTTCAAGGTTGGATCGATTCTTTACCGTACGGCCCCTAATAGCGAAATCGTGTAGTATTGAACAAATGTTTGTGAACGAAAACGTTTTAATGCGGCTGATGTCAAATAAAGTAAATGAAAAACAAATATGCTTTGTGTGGCCGACGACTTCCCTTCAATAAAAATTTGTTTGCTTTCACAATAGCTTAAGCTCATCTAATGTTGGCTTTTTTATTTAAATGTTTAACATGCGTTTTGTGGAAATTCAATTGGATGTTGCTCCCAGGACCGTGGATTAATTTCATGCCGGCGTTAAGGCGTCAAACGGATGAATTTCCCGTTTGTAATGCTGCCTTATTAGTTCCAATTAACACCTAGTACTAAAAGTCTGACGAGTGTGGCCTTCGGACCGGAACAAAAAACCGGAGGCATTAAGTCTTGTCTGATGAGAGCGGCCATTTTACTAAGTAACCTCCAATTTAGGCAATAATTGGGACTGATTTAATCGGGACTGTGCATTAGACGCTGGAAAGTGGCTTTATTACGGCTAAGGTGGAACTAGCTCTAGATAAACAAACGTTACGTATTTACATACGATTCCATCAGTCCCTTCGTTACTCGAGCCTCCTTAAAACAATAAAGCCAAACAATAAAACAGCGACATTCTCCATAAATCAAAACCTTCCATTCAACGCTACCAACCTATCGAGAGTCCTTATCGAATCACAGCCATTATCTCTAGAGACGTTCGTTAAATCGCGAGATTTCCTGCAATAACGGCCGTAAACCCATACTAGAAACTATAAAATTAGCCGACCACTACCTCGAAAGGGTCTGTTATTAAATGCATGCTGTAAACAGCCGTACGGGGTCATTAATACCGAAATAGCGTTAAATTGCCGCTACGTCGAGACGACGTTTTTGCATGCACAATTTTAAAAGGTCCTCACAACGTCGACCGCAGGGTTATCAGAGCTCACGATTGAGTTGTAAGACAAACGTATCACGTGATAAAAAGCATTTCGAAAAAAAAAGTGGAACGTTGAACCTGGACCCAGATTGATTCATGGACTTAAATGCGATTAAGTACTGCATTTATCATGTTTTCAATACGAGTAATCCGACCTGTGATATACTAAATATGATTTATGACCTGAGTCTGATCTCCAATTTAATATCGTGAAAGTTTACCTCCGATAAATTTTCGATTCGTCTTTTTGCGACGAGAGCATTATTCAATGAAATCCCGGGATTAAGCGCGCGCTTGCCGGAACGCGATTTATAGTCTTGCCACCACGAGAAAAATATTTCTGGTGCGAAATTTTGGGGGATCGCCGCGGCGAGCGGCACAATACAAATCGCGGCTTCTTGGAATACTAGTTTGAAAATTTTTAGAAGTGCCGGCGACTTTACGGATCGCACCTGACTCTGCGGGGGCATTCGCGTTCGGTTTGCAGGCCAGAGCCGTCAATTGATATTGATACCGACCGCTTCACGGCCGAGCAAAATTTTCTTTACAATACCGTTAGGATTCGCGATTACAAAATAGCCGATTAACTATAAGTCGATGAGTGAAATTCATTCAGGACGCGAGCCATCACAACGCATTCGACACGGCTGATTGCAGAGACGCGGATGGATGAAATCGCCGAGTTGCATGGAGGCTGATGCACCAACACGCGAAAACAATAACATTTTAACACGTTCGGCTGGAAAAAAATGCAAACACAACTAAATGGACAACTAATGGCCGTTCATTTCTTGGTATTCGTCACCAAGGGGTCTGGGGATCGCACATTGTAGCTTCAGATACTAAAGTGTGTTTTTTTTTTCTAAATCAGATCAGTAATCACGTGTAACGTGAATGAACAATTCTTGATTAAGCCCAATTATATATATCTACTGAGGCTTCAAGTTGTCTAATCAATTGCAACACTAGGTTTGCTGCTCACGAGTCCTGGCAACAAGCTACAACAGGTACTATACTTATCATTTAGACGAAAAGTTGTATTTAAAAATTGCGTCAGAGGTCCTTCGTGAGTTTCCGATTTAAAGCACACGATTTAAGAAACCTGAATGTCCACATAGCTGATTATAAACTACCTTTTCTGAGCAGCGCAATTGAAAAAGGTGGCGAAAGGCTGCTCTTCTTGTAGTCTTAAATTGGTGTCGTTTAAGGGCATTGATTGGTGAACGAAGAGCAAATGAAAGGTTTCCAAATAAAGTAAAAGTGGACTGATCCCATTAGAAGTGTGCTCTTCTCTTGGGGCACCTGCGAGCGATTGCCCAATCCGCCACTGGTGATTTTTCTCTCTTTATCGGCAATAAGTGTCATCCGACCGGCGTTTTTGAAGTTAACTTAATTAGGTGGCTGTGCCTCCTCGACTTTTCGGCTAAAAACCCGCCAGTTATGCGGCCATAATCGAACTTTAATATGATAATAGTGCCGTAAAACTCTCCGAAACAGACGTTCATGTTCATAAAACACCGAATTTAATCATGCTCGGTTTACGAAAAATCTGGATAATTAAATCGAATGTGCGCATAGGAACACCCCCAGCCGCAGAAGTAGCCGTCAGATGGCGCGCGATCTGTTTAAACCGCTCATTATAATAATTGCAAGAGAAATTGGTAACATAATTGTATAATATCAAGAATGTCACGCTCGTTCAATTTTCCTGGACGTGTTTCGAGACGCGTATGCCATAAACAATGAGAATTTTGAGTTGTAAACCTCGTTTTCGGTGGGCTAACTCGAAGAAAAACGAAGAAATCGCGGAGGCATCTACCGGCGGTTGCCGCACTTAATTACAGGCACCTGTTAGCCCGTCTCTTATTCCGGTTTTAATTGAAAATGGGTTCTCACGAATCATAAAGCGACCATGATGGATGGCGAAGACGCGGTGTTCCACCGAGCGGATGTCAACAGAGACCCAGCCATGGGAGGATCCTCCGCGATTTATTTTTTCTTCCATTCGAGAACCAATTACGACCCGCAGTCTAATCGGTCTCGTTAAAACGCCAAATTCCCACATCGCGTTGACGATGAATCCTCATATAAAAGGAAAAAATAATAGCTCCTTCCTCGTCTTGTTCGTCGATGACGGATTTTTTTCCGAGCGGCTGGAATGAAGCGCCGCCAGAGGCGCTCCGTGTCGTTCCAATTAAATCATCTCCGAAGAGGATCGTCTATTAAGTTTCGGAAGTTTGATTTTACGCGGATCCGCCACGAACCTCCAAACATGTCTAGAATGCAACACCGCGGGCCGCCGGCAGACGAAGAACCGTCACACAAACACACACACATACACACATGATTGAAATGTATGAGGGTCCACATGCCAGTCACGTTGCCAGAATCTCGAGCGGCTACAGAAGCCATGGAATGCTTTTAGCATTCCGCTTTCAGAACAAATAATAAACCGCTGACACTTTCCATAACTACCTCGGCCCAATCGACACGGTTTTTGCCGGAGTCGAGCGCTTAGGGCGCTGTCGAGGGCCGAAATCTGCATAAGGTGGCTTTCCGGAATTCGTAGGGCATTTTGCCGTGTTCTCGGCGTAGAGAGTGAATGGCGCGGGCCCTGCAAACTCGGTTTCGGTGTGTTTCGTTCAGTGGCCGGGAATGTGACCGAACCGCTTCTTCAGCCCTGGCCCCTCGACGTCGCGCTCGCTGAATTCCACGGACATACTTCACGCGCGGCCTCCGCTTCTCTGCAGCTGCAATTGGATCAAACGCACAAATTTCGCCCGTACCCCAAAAACACCACAAAACATCCTCGGACCTTCGAACCGTTCGTCTTCTCCTTTGCGGTTCGATTATTCCGCCAGTAATCAACGTTAAGCCTCTTAGAGCCAAGGTGTCGAGATTAATCATGTGTTAGAGCCAGGGACCGGCTCATCTTACGCGGACCTTGAAACCGAAAGTGATATTTATGTGAACTCGATCCAATCTTATTCTCTGTAATTTCAAGAGAGATTTGCACGATCGATACTCTGATTGCATCCGATTTGCTTTTTTGTGTTGCAGGCGAGATTACGACCAAACAACCCCTCGACCGAGAGCAGAAAGAGATTTACGACCTGGTGGCCGAAGCCCGGGATCAAGGCAGCCCGTCCAGAAGCAGCAGGGTGGCCCTCAAAATTCACGTGTTGGACGTGAACGATAACGCTCCGGAAATAATCGACCCTCAAGAGGATGTGGTTAGCGTGCGCGAAGAACAACCGGCGGGAACGGAAGTGGTGAGGGTGCGAGCCGTGGACCCGGACAACGGCGAAAACGCGTCCCTCACCTACTCGATCTTGAAGGGGAGAGACTCGGACGGTCATGGCGTCTTTAACATCGACCCCCTGACGGGAGTCATTCGGACGAGAATGATGCTGGACCACGAGGAGCGAGCGATATATAGACTGACGGTGGCAGCTAGCGACGACGGAAAACCCCCTAAACAGACCGTGAGAATGTTGAGGGTTGAAGTGCTGGACCTCAACGATAACAGACCCACCTTCACGAGTTCGAGTTTGGTCTTCAGAGTTCGAGAAGACGTCAAAATTGGGTACGTCGTGGGTTCAGTGGCCGCTTCCGAAACGGCAGACCAAGAAAATATAATCAGTGGAAGTACCGGAGGGCATATAACGTATACACTCACGTCTTTGATGCCCGAAAATGTGATCGATGCTTTCGACATTGACCGCAGCACGGGTTCTCTAGTCGTGGCACGGGAGCTAGACCGCGAGCGAGAGTCCGAATATCGTCTGGAAGTTAGGGCGTTGGACACGAGCGCCATGAATAACCCTCAGAGTAGTGCCATAACGGTGAGGATCGACATTGCCGACACCAACGACAATGCTCCTCGTTGGCCTGAAGAATTAGTGACAATATCGTTGAGCGAAAATACCGACATTGGTACATCCGTTCACAACTTCACGGCTTCTGACATGGACAGCGGCAGCAACGGTGAACTTCGCTACCATCTCGTGCATCAATACCCGACCAACAACACCTTCACTATAGATTTCCTAACCGGAACGTTGATTCTCTCCAATAGCCTCGATTACGAATCAATAGAAGAATATACCATTATTGTAGCAGCCACCGATCAGTCCGTCAATGTTTCGGAACGAAAAACTACCTCAGTCACTGCTAGAGTCATCGTTACCGATTACAACGACAACTCTCCCAGATTCGTCGTTCCGGTACCTCCGACGGCCTTTATCAGTGAAGCTACCATCGTAGGAATGAAAGTCACCCATCTGGTGGCCGTAGATAGTGATAGTGGTGACAACGGTCGAGTGACTTATGTGATTTCAAGCGGAAACGAAGGTAGTGTTTTCGCGTTGGGTTATGACACGGGCGTTTTGACCTTAGCCAAACCTCTTCCTGACGCACAAAGAACTTACATTCTAAATGTAACAGCCACTGATCATGGAACACCCACGCGTCATGCCGATATTGAGTTAAAATTGGCGGTGCAAGGATCCGAAGCGAACCCTCCCAGGTTCTTCAACTCTTTGTACAGAGCGAGTGTCCCGGAAGATGCGCCTATAGGGACGTTTGTGACTAAAGTTACCACCAAATCCGGAGTGGCCGAACACGGTAAGTAACTGTAAATAATACTCCCGCCATCCTATATATGCTAATAGGAAATAAAATATGCAACAAAAATCCAAAATAAGGAAGTGCTATGTGCTCCCGGCCCCCATTGTACCGACCGAGAGCGCTCCAGGGTTCCATCATTGAATAACCTGATTTCATATTTACATTTATATTAATCTCGTATCGACGCAAAATGAATATTCATGTTTTTATTAACTGCGCTCGAAGGATGCTAACTGGAAGATTAATTGACCCTTAGATCGGATAAAACCAGTGTTTGGTGATAATTGTACAGAAAAACTGGTTACCAATTTTCTACCGTGCAGTCGAACTCACCCGAACTCTAACCCATTGTTTTTCAGGCAACAACATTTCCTTCTACATCCCGAGAGAGGTCGCCGACGGAGCCTTCCAAATCGACCCTGTATCAGCACGAATCACGACTAGCAAAGCCCTGGATCGCGAAACGCGGGACTCCTACACTATTCCCGTCTACGTCACAGACACCACCTCACCCGGAAAGACGCTCTCCGACGTTTCGACTCTCATCATCAAGATCACCGACGTCAACGATCACGCGCCGGAGTTTAAAGCGGGCTCGTGTTACCGACTCTACGTGCCCGAAAACAACGAAGTGGCTGTGATACACACGGTAGTGGCGAAAGATTTAGACGAAGGAAACAATGGAGAGATTGCGTATAGTATCACGGGAGGTAATTTAGGGAACAAGTTTAGCATCAACATGAGAACGGGTGAATTGACAGCGCGACCTTTGGATCGCGAAACACATTCGAGATATCATTTAACCATCACGGCCCAAGATCGAGGCAAGCCTTCCTTGATGGGTCTTTGTAATATCACGGTGATGGTCGAAGACCTGAACGATAATGATCCGAAGTTTGACCTTTCGAAGTATTCGACGGCGATTCCTGAAGATGTACCCGCAGACACTTCTATACTGAAAGTGCACGCGTCTGACGCTGATATGGGTGTTAATGCTAGGATTATTTATTCGTTGGCGAACGAGAGTCAGTGGTTATTTCGAATCGACAACAAGACTGGAGTTATTACGACCGCAGGGTTAGTACTCGGTGGCAATATTTTGGCATCAACTGACTATTTTTGTTGTTTTAGGTTCTTCGACAGAGAGTTGCAGTCCGTTTATAATTTTTTAGTGGTGGCTACTGACAGCGGCAAGTACAATGCCCGCTCTCAGAAAGTACCAGTTACGGTACGAATCGACGACATCAATGACAATAAGCCGATTTTCACGGAATATCCGTTTAGAGAAAGAGTTGCGGCTTATAAGCAACCCGGACAGACGATTCTCAAGATTACGGCAAAAGACGCAGATCAAGGTACTAATTCGGAAATCGTCTACAGTCTGGTCAATGATGGTTCATATTCAAAATTTCGCATCAATCCGAATACCGGAATCTTAACAGCCACACAAAGCCTAGCAAGCGAGAATGGCAAAGTCGTCCATATTAACATTCTCGCAACCGATAAAGGCAACCCTCCTCGAAGTTCCACCGGACTTGTTGAAATCATCGTCGGCGACATTCTCGAAGGTGCCCCCCAACTCCGTTTTCAAAACTCTTCATACTTGGTCAACATCCCCGAGCACACCGAAAAATTCAAAGACATCCTCCGAGTATCAGCGGTTCGCACCGATGGACGCCGCCAACGCATCCTCTACTCCTTCGGTACCGGTAACGAAGACAACATTTTCAGAATAGATCAAGAAAGTGGCGTCATCCAAGTCCGTGATCCGAAATACCTCGACTACGAGTTGCACAAAGAGATCAAAATGGTAGTGGAAGCCAAAACCGAAGGAGGTCCTGCTTTGCACGGCTACTGCGAGGTTATAATTCAATTGACCGACATCAACGACAACGCCCCCAAATTTACCCAACAACAGTACTCAGCGTCGGTTTGGGAAGGTAACAAAAAAGGAGCGTTTGTTCTTCAAGTCGTGGCTTTCGACGACGACCAAGGTCCCAATTCTCGCATTCTCTATCACATCGTCGACGGCAATCACGATAACGCGTTCAAAATTGAACCGGCTTTTAGTGGTATTTTAAAGACCAATATAGTCTTGGATCGCGAGATTAGAGATAACTATAAACTCACCGTTATCGCAACGGATGAGGGAGTGCCGCAGATGACCGGGACGGCAAGAATAGTCATTAATATTGTGGATGTGAATGATAATCAACCGACTTTTCCGCCACGGAGCATCATCAACGTGAGTGAGGCGACGGAAATAGGGACCGTTTTGACGACCATGACGGCCAACGACGTTGACACGAACCCCGCGTTAACGTATAGTTTTTCGACGGACAACAGTAGGGAGGATTTGGAGTTTTTTAGTATTGATCGGTTTAGTGGGAAAGTTATTTTGAAGAAGAAGCTCGATTTTGAGAGTTGGCAGGAATATAAGTTGAAAATTGAAGCTTCTGATACGGCACATACGGCCAAAACTACGCTTACGATTAAAGTTACCGACGTGAACGACAATTCGCCTGCGTTTTCTCAATTGGTTTATCAAGCCAACTTGCCAGGTACGATAATCTAGAAACCCTTTTTTGGTTTTGGTTTTAATAATCGTAACTATATTTTAGATGGTCACTCACCAGAACTCACCGATATACTGACCGTCAACTCTACTGATGGCGATTCCGGTGACAACGCACGAGTCGAGTACTTACTCTTCAACCCCATTCCGAGCTTTTCAATCGGGCGTACCGACGGAGTTCTACGAGCCAATCTTTCCAATATCACTTCAGTAGTGAACGACATACAGCTCACGGTGCAAGCGATCGACTTGGGTAAACCCCCTAGAAAGTCAGTGGCTTCCATCCGCATCAAAGTCAACAGTAGATCCGGGCATTCTTCGTCTAACAATAAAAGAGACTACAAGTACGTACACTCATCAGTACTTTCCACGAAACTAATACTTTTTTGTTCACAGGATCCAAATTCCTGAAGACATTCCAAAAGGTACGACCATACTGCACTTGGCGAAACCCACAGGAGTTCAGAAACAAGGGACGAACTTCTACATAACTGAAGGCAACGACGACGGCTCTTTCGAAGTGTCAAACCCATCTGGTGCTTTGGTCGTCGTGAAGAACATGGATCGTGAACTGCAAGATGTTTATAACCTCAAAATCACAATCGGAGATATGACTTTTACTTCCAACTATTCGATGATAGCTGTGGTGGTTAGAATCGACGATACGAATGACAATGCGCCAGTATTTAAACAAGCCGATTATGAACTTACGATTAGTGAAGGTACTCCCGTGGGTACTTCGATTAAGAAAATTATAGCAACCGATGCTGATTCTACGGGTCCTAATTCAGAAATAACGTACGACATTACCTCAGGGAACGACGAGGGCTTGTTCAAACTGGACATAGTTTCGGGAGTACTTTCCGTGAACAAGACTTTGGATTTCGATAGTGGCAACACCGAATACAACCTCGTATTGCGCGCGTGTGACCGAGGTCCCAGTCCTTTGTGTACCCTGAACACGTTCCTTGTGGGTCTCCAAGATGAAAACGACAACGAACCGAAGTTCCCCGTTCCTGAGTACTTGGAGTTTGTTGGAGAAAATGAACCCGTTGGTACTGCCATTTTCACAGCTCATGCTACCGATTTAGATAAGGGTGCTTTTGGTACGCTGAACTACTCGATCGTAAGCGCTAGTTCTTCGAATTACCCGGGGATTGACGATTCCTGGCGTTTGTTCCACATTGATTCCTCGACGGGTTTAGTTACCACAAACTCCATCTTCGACTACGAACAACACAGTCGCTATATTTTCATGGTGAGGGCTACTGATGTCGGAGGGAAATCTTCTACGGTTAAAGTGAGGGTGGAAATTGAGAGTAAAGACGAATTTCACCCTCAGTTTACGGAACGAACTTATAAATTTATCTTGGCGACTTCGGTACCACTGCCTGTGGGGTACGTAGTGGGACATGTGACCGCCACTGATAGAGACAAGGGGCCTGATGGTCGTGTGGTGTACCAACTCACCACTCAACACTCCTATTTCAAAATAAATAGAACCACTGGAGCTGTGATGATTAAAAAGAAGTTTGAGAATTCGGAAGGATTGGACTCCGGGAGGGAGATCAGTTTAGTGGTGACGGCGAGCTCTGGACGCCAAGGATCACTAACGAATATGACGGTAGTGGAAATTACTCTAGACCCACTGGCGGATCCTGGTACCAACTTGGCCATCAATCGAGAAAACAATACCACAGTGGCCGCCGCAAACGGAGGAATAGCAGATTGGGCCCTCGGTCTTCTAATAGCGTTGATCCTTCTCCTCATAACTTTCGGTGCTGTGTTCGTATTCCTTCATATGCGTAACAAACGTAACAAGAAAATTAATAAACCAAACTTGAACAGTGAAAGTGTAAGTACTTCGAACAACTACGTGGACCCTAGTGCTTTCGATACGATTCCGATCCGTGGTAGCGGTGGTGTAGTGACTAGTAGCGCTAACCAGTTCGCACCGCCGAAATACGACGAAATACCTCCATACGGTCCTGGACATGCTGCTAGTTCCAACTCCGGAGCTGCCACCACGTCTGAACTCTCAGGTTCCGAACAATCCGGGTCGAGCGGACGCGGGTCCGCCGAAGACGGTGAAGACGGCGAAGACGAAGAAATTCGCATGATTAACGAAGGACCTCTTCAGAGAGACTCCGGGATTCACAGGCAGAACGACGACGACGACAACCTGTCGGACGTTTCGGTTCGAAACACCCAGGAGTACCTCGCCCGGTTAGGGATCAACAGCGGAGGCGGCGTTCCTCAAGCCGCCTCCCGCCTCTGTTCGGACCCCCGCGCCGGCAGCAGCAAAGAGTCCATCCACCACCACCAGGGCGTGCCTTTAGACAGCCTGCACATCTTCGACGAGGAAGGCAACAACGAAAACGACATGACCCTGATTTACGCGAAGCTTAACGACGTGGCAGGCAGTGACCGGGCGAGCTCCACGGACGAAGGGGGCGGCGTGAACCCCTCCACGTTGGAGCACGTGATGGCGATCGGTGGGTACGGGGAGGTGCCGGCGGTGACGCACCAACCCTCCATGAACGGTTCGTTGAGTTCGATAGTGCACAGCGAGGAGGAGTTGGCCGGTAGTTACAATTGGGACTATTTGCTCGACTGGGGGCCGCAGTACCAGCCCCTGGCTCACGTGTTCTCCGAGATTGCAAGACTGAAAGACGACACGGCGTCGGTGAAGAGCGGGGCCAGCGGTAACTCGAGCGTGAAAAGCAAGAGTTCGGCGCCGGCCAAGAGCATCCCGCCGCCGCTGATCACGAGCGTGGCCCCGAGGTCCATAGCGATGCCCGTCTTGAACTCGAGGGGCGGTTCTAGTCATCACGCGGGGACTCACAACCAGATGATGATGTTGCCGAGATCGCCGATCAACCACGACGCTTCGGGGGCTACGTTCAGCACGTCGACGGCGATGTCGCCGAGTTTCTCTCCGAGTCTGTCGCCGCTGGCGACGAAATCGCCGTCGATTTCGCCGCTGGTTACGCCCGGTTTGCCGACGAGTCACCATGTGATGGGGCGGCAGCCGCCGCAGAGCAGGACGAAGACGGTGGTGGATACGGAGATGAGGATTTAAGTGTTCAGGACTTTTATTAGGGACTTTTTTAAATCGATTGTACTATAATTTCGTGTATATAATTTATTAGAAATGCTCACTAGGTAGTGTTTTCTCTGCCTGCCATTTTTAGCCATAAAGACTAACTTTCTCTGTAAGCTTTTAAATGTTTTGTATAAAATTTTTAAATTATTGTAGATATGTAACTATTCCAAGTTTTGTAATTATAAATAGCGAGGAATCTAAATTATTTCGATTTGAATGTTGTTAACCAAATTTATACAAATGTGTTTGTTGTGTCGTTGAATGTGAACGCGTTGAAGATGAATGTTTAGTTGTAGGACTAAATAATTGTGTCATAAGTGTTGCTGTATAAAAATGTACAAACAAAATAAATGAAGTTTTTTAAATAAAAAATCGTTTTTTTTTCATTATACAACTACCTCCGAGGCAAACTTGCTTTAATTTAAATATTTTTACTTAAATCAAACCAAAAATAGTTAACCTTGTATATGGTTAGAACCCGACATTTAGAAACTAAAATCTGGATCCAATACTAGAAAGAACATTTTAGTAAATAAAATCATGTAATCAAGTATTAACCGGCAAGAAAAAATATGAATGCAATACAATACATCCTTACATCCCACGTCAGTTTTAAAAAATGTATATTGTTAATAAGTGTTGTGATTTTAATCTCACATCTGTAATCTCAAATAATTGCTACAGAATAAAGGTTAGTCAATTAATAATGATAATTAATACTCGTTCGGTCAAAGGTATAACTGGATCTTAAATTGTCGTAAAAATAAATAAAAGTATCTAATCAGATGGCACCTGTGTGTGATATATTTAGACATTTGGTCATTATTGTTATGAAACATGATAAAAAAATCAACTGACAATCTTCTAAGATGATGATAATAATAATAATATTTACAGACTTTGGAGTTTCTGAATTATCTCTTTCATGCTAATTTGTTTATCTTAAAAGCTATCTATCAATTATATGTTATTTATACACTTTCCTAGCGAATAACTGCTCGACACCGATTTTTTAACCTTTCAAAAGATAGATTAAACCACTTACCTTAGGTAAATATGATTACAACGTGCAGGAGAATTGATAATAATGAAAATATAAATTGATGAAAATGAAATAATAAAAATTTATACAATCGGTTGCTATACGAGATAGAATACCGTAGGTGCACAATTCCCCCAGGACTCCCGCACCAAGCACCACGAAAAGTAAAATGTTGTTGTGTGCTCGACATACCAACGTACACCTATTGAAAAGCGTCTTACATAATATAAATAACATAGAATTATATATTATGATTAATCTGGTAGAGAAAGACAGGCAACAAGATTGCTACTTCTGATTTGGTTCTCAGAATTAATATTCCTAATGAGAAAAAGTGGTCCAAGGTTAGTCCCTCGCTCTTGAAGTACAGTCCAACAAATTCTGCTTCCTTAAAAAATGTACAAAAAAAAATGTTTTCTGATAACCTTTATATCAGTGGTGTAAATGACATCTCAAACCCCCTGCGCCGCGAGGGCGCAAATTCCAAGGAGGTGCAATATGATTATATTGAAGGCAAATAACCAACGTAAAAGAGTGTATTATTATCAGTGGACATGCTTAACTTCGATTGTTTATGTTTGTACATCGAAAGAATATCACGTAGAAATTTATTTAATTTGAATGAGTTGTCTCCTTAAAACAGAGGACTAAAATGATTAATTAAGCCACAATGGAATAATGTGTTTTGAATATAATTAGGTATTATTATTCTTATTTGATCTGAATTACACATTTTATTCGAATGAAAATATAATCAACGTCACCCTTAGTTTGTGTTGCATAATTTTGTCCACGCCTTTAAAAAATGAACTACAGTCCTTTGAAAAATAAATTTCAAGTAAAAAACGAATCTCTAGATTGGGGAGACGACTCTCAACGGAATAAGCAAAAGCAAATATTTAATAAATACATGTAGAATGACTAAACTAAAATTGACTGTTATGCGGCATTCAAAATAAATAGTGTAAAGTTTGTAAAAATAGGCACTTAATTTTACCTGTCACATGAAAACAAAAAATAGAGATTATGAATGAATGCAAAAAATTGCAATACACTTTTCTAAAATGCACGTGCATTAACAAGCCCTGTCACCATTACTTTTAATTTTGATAAAATACTCGAGATATTTCTATCTCTCAAATTCCTATAAAAGCGTGATGTTCTTCATGCTAATACAAGTAGCATTTTCCACCCAGCTAAATCATAACCTTAAAAATGAACACCCTTCTCATTTTATTTTTCACCCTCTTTACCTACTCCATCGCAAGTCCCTACCATGGACAAATACGCGACCTCGTTCCTGCAGATGACGAAGACGCTGACCTCTCTGTTGTAAGTACTACCAGCACTTTCACAATCCCGCAGTCACATCAGAACTTTCCAGATGGAACTTCTCGAAAAATATGGCTACCCGGCTGAAGAACACTTCGTTACCACCTCAGACGGCTACATCTTAAGAATGCACCGAATCCCTCACGGTAAAAACTCAGACACAGTTTCCGACAAAGTCGTTTTCTTGATGCATGGTCTTTTGTGTTCTTCGGCGGATTGGGTCCTCACGGGAACCGAACATGGCCTAGGTAAACTACCACCATAATAATAGTGATAATAAGAAAATGAATTTTGACACTAACAGGGTACCTAATGGCCGACGCCGGCTACGACGTCTGGATGGGTAACGCACGCGGTAACCACGAATCCAGAAACCACACGACCCTTAATCCAGATACCGACGACGACTTCTGGCACTTCAGCTGGCACGAAATCGGTGCCATCGACGTAGCCACGATGATAGATTACGCTTTAGAAGTGACTGGTCAGAGCCAAGTCGTCCACATTGGTCACTCTCAAGGTAGTACCAGTTACTACGTAATGACAGCCATGCGTCCCGAATATAACGCCAAAATCAAGGCACACTTCAGTCTGGCACCTATTGCCTACATGAACCACATGACCAGCCCTTTGATGCACATTCTGGCTTCCTGGTCTGGAACTCTGGATTTCCTTGCTGAGTTGATCGGTATCAACGAGTTTCTCCCGAGCAACGACTTCATGGAAATGGTCGGAGATGACCTTTGTGCTGATGGCGACCCTACTCAGGTTCTTTGCAGTAACGCCCTTTTCGTCATCTGTGGGTTCAGTCCGGATGAAATGAACGCCACGATCCTGCCAGTGTTGACGGGACATACTCCAGCTGGAATTTCTGTTAGACAGATGATGCATTATGCTCAAGAGATTAACTCAGGAGAGTTCTGTCAGTACGACTTCGGATCGGATGATAATTTGATCGAATATGGACAATCCACTCCGCCTAACTACGAGCTGGACAATATTCAAGCACCTATTTATTTGTACTTTAGTCGAAATGATTGGTTGTCCGCTGAAGAAGATGTGCTGAAGTTCTGTACTGGTATTGGTGGCGCTTGCAAAGAAATGATTTTGGTGGCTGATGGGGAATTCAACCATTTGGACTACTTGTACGGGATTAGAACACCGGACCTTGTGTATAAGCCAATGATTGAGATTATTGCAGACCTTTACTGATCTGGGTTGAAGATTTGAAGATATTTTGGTACTATGTAACCTTGAATTGACTTTAATAAAGTAATTTAATAAAATAGTAGTCGGTCATTGTTTCCAAATATGAATGCGGCATGAGGTGAGAAGGACAAATCATTTAAAAACGTGACCTTCACAGCATTTTTAAATGTACATTGTACAAATTATAAACGGTTAGTTACTATGGTGATGGTTTAATCAAAAGCTTCCTGATGAATGATAGCTAAAGACATAAAACTAATTCTACTGAACCAAAAGTAAGTAGTACCGTATATGTCATACGGAAAGAACCATAAATGGTTTTTTCTTCGTGGACATTGTTAATATCAAATTTCATAATTTATCTTTCTCGATGAACACACTAGCTGCAGAATTTTCTTTAGCGACGATAGTCTATAATAACCAAAGTTAGGCACAACCGAAGTGATGGGTAATCAACCAGACAAATATTAAAAACTACGGCGCGACGTCAGGCTGGCCGACTGTGCAGTCTCAACCTAAGTGGCATTTGGTGCAAATCACGGTTTATCTAATCAAGATCATCACAAAAATTGTGATTTTGAAGAGTCATTTTTAATTTTTAAACCATTTTAACATCTAGGAGAACTCGGAAAACTGAAGAAAACCTAGAAAAAGTAGTAATTGTTATTAAGAATTCTCGAAGTTGTAGGCCACGACTGCAATAGCGCTGGTGATCGGGCGGCAATGAGCATCACTTCCGCAATAGAACTATTTATCAGATGCATATGGTTAATCTATAGTCCAATTTTGAAAGGCGTGGAAATATTCACTCAACCCAAAATACACATTTCACAGTGTATTTTCCAAAAAAAAAATAAATGTCAACATTGACGTTTTGCCCAAAACATTCTTTTTTTTTTAATGTCACGTTATTGTTATCCTAAAATTTTTTGTTCCAATTATTTTAACTTGTAATCTCGGATTACACATTTCATTCCAACTGCTGAAAATATAATCAACATCACCCTTATTTTATGTATATTATGTTGACAATTTTGTCCACACCCTTAAAAAATGAACTATATTGCTTTGAAAAATAAATTTGAAATACCTAAAAAACGACTCAACGAGAAAAGCAAAAGCAAATGATTTGCAAAACTAGAATGACTAAACTAAAATAGACAACTATGGCATTCAAAATCATGTACAATTTGTAAGAAGAACCATTCAACATTAATTGTCACCTAAAAAAAAGGATTTTAGAAATTCTGAATGAATACAATAAATGCAACGCACGTTTTCTAAAATGTACGTGCATTTACAAGCCCTGTCACCATTACTTTTAATTTCGATAAAATACTCGAGATATTTCTATCTCTCAAAACGTATAAAAGCGTGGCGCTTTTCATGCTAAAACAAGTAGAGTTTTCTACCCAGCTAAGTCATAACCTTAAATATGAACACCTTTCTCATTTTATTTTTCACCCTCTTTACCTACTCCATCGCAAGTCCATACCATGGACAAATACGGGACCTCGTTCCCGCAGATGACGAAGACGCTGACCTCTCTGTTGTAAGTACTACCACCACTTCCACATTCCCGAAATCACATCAGAACTTTCCAGATGGAACTCCTCCAAAAATATGGCTATCCGGCTGAAGAACACTTCGTTACCACCTCAGACGGCTACATCTTAAGAATGCACCGAATCCCTCACGGCAAAAATTCGGACACAGTTTCCGACAAAGTCGTTTTCTTGATGCATGGTCTTTTGTGTTCTTCGGCGGATTGGGTCCTTACGGGAACCGAACATGGCCTAGGTAAACTACTACCATAATAATAATGGTAATATGAAAATGAATTTTGACACCAACAGGGTACCTAATGGCCGACGCCGGCTACGACGTCTGGATGGGTAACGCACGCGGTAACCACGAATCCAGAAACCACACGACCCTGAATCCAGACACCGACGACGACTTCTGGCACTTCAGCTGGCACGAAATCGGTGCTATTGACGTAGCCACGATGATAGACTACGCTCTGGAAGTGACTGGTCAGAGCCAAGTCGTCCACATTGGTCACTCTCAAGGTAGTACCAGCTACTACGTAATGGCAGCCATGCGTCCCGAATACAATGCCAAAATCAAGGCACACTTCAGTCTGGCACCTATTGCCTACATGAACCATATGACCAGCCCTTTGATGCACATTCTGGCCTTTTGGTCTGGTTCTCTGGATCTCCTTGCTGAGTTGATCGGAATGAACGAATTTCTCCCAAGCAACGACTTCATGGAAATGATCGGAGATGACCTTTGTGCTGATGATGACCCCACTCAGGCTCTTTGTAGTAACGCACTTTTCGTCATCTGTGGGTTCAGTCCGGATGAGATGAACGCCACGATCCTGCCAGTGTTGATGGGACATACTCCAGCTGGAATTTCTGTTAGACAGATGATGCATTACGCTCAAGAGATTAACTCAGGAGAGTTCCGTCAGTACGACTTCGGGTTGGATAATTTGATAGAATATGGACAACTCACTCCGCCTAACTACGAGTTGGAAAATATTCAAGCACCTATTTATTTGTACTTCAGTCGGAATGATTGGTTGTCGGCTGAAGAAGACGTGCTGAAGTTTTGTACTGGTATTGGTAGTGCTTGCAAAGAAATGATTTTGGTGGCTGATGGGGAGTTCAACCATTTGGACTACTTGTACGGGATTAGGACACCGGAACTTGTGTATAAGCCAATGATAGAGATCATTGCACACCTTGACTGATCTTGGTTGAAGATTTGAAGATATTTTGGTACTATGTAACCTTGAATTGACTTTAATAAAGTAATTTAATAAAATAGTAGTCGATCATGAATGAGACATGAGCTGAGGAGGCCAAATCTTTTAGAAACGTGACCTTCACAGGGTTTTAAAGTGTACAAATTATAAACGGTTGGTTACTATGGTGATGGTTTAATCAAAAGCCACCTGCTGAATGATAGATAAAGATATAAAAGTAATTCTGGTGAGCTAAAAGTAAATAGTACCGTATATGTCATACGGAAAGAACCATAAATGTTTTTTTCTTCTTGGATATTGTTAATATTAAACGTTGAATGAACAAATGCAGGATTCGATCTATGTATTACAGGCAACCAGTATTACAACCGAGACTTTATTGACCTTTATTCCGATAAAAATCTACACATGTATTTATTTGTACATCTGTAGCAAAAAGAATATCAAGTGACATAGAAACAATTTAAGTACATTTGTTTTTTGTTATTGTATTCATTTTAATCGCTATTTTTGAAGATAAGAACGCCATTGCAACAGTAATTGCAGTAATCAACATCAACACTATTGACGCGTTTAATCTCAGATGGCTTATATTAATTAAATGAATAATTCATTTGCACAATTTTCGCATGCCGATTGTATGTATACAAATTTTTCTTATCAATTCGAATATTTATTATCACGCGTAAGTACCATACGCAACATTATAATCAACATTTATAAATAAAGATTATATACAAAAATATATGTCCGCATACAATGTAGAACATTAAACTTCAATCAAGTGGATAACTACTTTATTAGGCAAAACAGTTTAATAAGTTCCTCGAAACAGATATATTTTAATTCATACAAGAATCAAAATATTCAAAAAAGAAGTAACGTCCTCTAAAACTTTTTAATAGTGGCAACAACTTCATTATAAAGGAGTTCTACCACGTCCTTCGCAAAAAGAAAATCATAATGATTAAAAGCATCAAGTGGTACCAAATATTCCCCGGCCACGTTGGAAACCTCACTAATAGTTTGCTTCACGTCCTAAAAAATCAACATAGTACTCAGTCGTACTTCCATTACTACCGCCATTACCTCAATAGACAACAACCCATCATTGGTAGCATAATAAAAAGCTACAGGTGCCGTAATTTTACTAAGGTCATAAAGCGGTGGCGTCATGCTACCATACACCATAAGATTGGTCATCATACCATAATCAAACTTTGCAAAATTCCCGGTTTTTATAATCTGACCATAGTGTACCAACTCTTTAATAGCGGCGTCAGCTGGAGCGTTGGTGGCTATAACGGGCAACATTTCCTACAAAGCAAATCAAGTCAAATCAAAATCATCCCTGAAACTCGACTCTGAAGTACCGGTTCCACTTCCGTAATATCAATACCCATGGTGGTATAATAAACCGCCGCGCAGTCAGCATAATTCACAGGCAAAACACAAGTAGTCGACCCCCAAATTCTCGCAGCCTCAGTGTTCGGAATTTCAAAAATTAGGGACGCCGCCCAAGTTGCCGCGTACTCATCTATCAACATACAATATTCTTTTACAGCAGCGTTGGGCGGGTTGCCCATGTGCCCAGCAGGAGCGAGGAGGGTCGCCAATTTAATTTTTTTGTTGTATTCGGGTCTCGTGCTAGCCAAAACCAAGAACGAAGTGGTACCTTGAGAATGTCCTACGTAATACAAACTGTCGTCACCTTTCAAATTTAAAATATAGTCAATAGCTGCTGGGTAATCGTAGTACCCGATTTCGTGCCAACTGAAGTCAAAAAATAGGTTCTTGTTGAAATCGGGACTCCAAATTGTGTGGTTTCGGGAAAAAGTGTTCCCTCTGGCATTGCCTAGCCATACGTCGTAGCCAGCGTCAGCCAGAATGTAGCCCAAGCTGCGACCAGGACCCATGTTTACGTAATCGGCGGCTGAAGAGATGAAGCCGTGTTGGAGTAACACTGTTGGTCGAGGCGAAGTCGAGTCATCGACGATTCCGTGGGGTATGCGGTAGTAGGTGAGGATGTAGCCATCTTCGGTTTTTATATAGTGAGTCTCGGAAGGGTAACCGTGGCCTTCAATCATTTGGACCTATGGGGTATGCTTAGAAGAGGTAGTAGAAGAAAAAAGACACTTACGGGTGTTAGACCAACATCGGATCCTATAACCCATGTTGACAGAAAAGTGGAAAAAACTATAACGTGTGCGAACCTGATCATGATTGTCAATTAAAGACAAAATGATAGTACTAGCGTTTAAATACATGTCCATGTTTCGTACATTTAAGTAATCTAGTATTTATCGCTTATTTTTGCTCTAGAGGTGGTATTTTTGTGTGACCTTTGACAGCATAGTTTCTTTGTTCTAGAACAGATTGTATCAGCAATATACAATGGTGTATTGCAAGGTTAAACGATATTGGTATCGCGGTACTAGGTATTGCTTCGAAGTGAATTTGTGTACGTGAAATAAAAAAATTAGAACACTATCATCATTAATGTGACAGCCACAAAGAACGTATCTTTTATTTTTTTAAACAAACTATTCACTAGGGCACAAAATAAGTCCACAATTCTAAGAAAAAAAATGTGTTGGTACGACAGAGGTATTAGCAGTACTACGAGAGTTTCACCTCAGATCCACATATGATTGACATTGTAGTACACACTTAACATTCCATTACAGTCAAAAGGTGCAAAAAAACATGTTCTATATGCTAAGTAAAAACATAACACTCAAAAACAATAATTTTTTGAAGTACCTCTCCAATTTAGTTTACAGAAGACATTGGCATACGTTTTTTTAATCTGCCGACAATAACTTTATCTTTAACTTAAGTTTCATTACACGAAAGTAATTTTAAAAATTGCGGTACTTCTGAAATTTGCAACACTATCTCGCTTACGCAGAAAAATCGGACACTCGTTTTTAGATTTTAAGTTAAGATTAGCTATCAAGATCCTTATAAAAACTGCGCGCAAAAAATCAGGCACTATTGTCAGCTATCGTTGGCAACACAAAAAAATGTTGCTTCTACCGTTGATACTTAGCACCGTGATAACCCTTTCTTTGGGTGTCCCTCATTCAAGACAACTTGGACACCCGGTGTTGCAAGACGACGAAGATGCCGACCTTACAGTCGTAAGTACTACCTTCCTATTGTATAATTTTTTCTACAAAAGTACCACTTTAGCCTGAGCTCATAACTAAATATGGTTACCCGGCGGAAGAACATTTTGTCACGACTTCAGATGGCTACATTCTAAGACTTCACCGAATTCCTCACGGAAGAACCTCACACAACAAAAACAAAGTCGCTTTCTTGATGCATGGTCTTCTGTGCTCTTCAGCTGACTGGATTATCACTGGTACCACTCACGGATTGGGTTATTTGCTTGCCGATGAAGGCTACGATGTGTGGATGGGCAATGGTAGAGGCAACCACGAGTCTCGTAACCACACAACTCTGAACCCGGACACGGATGCTGAGTTCTGGCACTTCAGCTGGCACGAAATCGGGAACGTGGATGTACCTACTATGATCGACTACGTGTTGGAAACCACCGGCCAGAGCCAAGTCTACCACATCGGGCACTCCCAAGGTACCACTAGCTATTACGTCATGGCGTCCAAACGTCCAGAATACAACGACAAAATCGCTGCCCACTTCAGCTTGGCGCCTGTCGCCTACATGAACCACATGACAAGCCCCCTCATGCACATTGTAGCGTCCTTCTCAGGCCCTCTCGACGTCCTTGCTGAACTTATTGGACTCAACGAGTTCCTTCCAAGCAGCGATTTTATCGAAGCTGTGGGATCTCTCCTTTGCGCTGACGACGAGATCACACAAGCTCTTTGCACGAATGCCCTTTTCGCCATTTGTGGGTTCAGTCCACATGAGATGAACGCGACGATTTTGCCGGTGCTTACGGGACATACTCCAGCTGGTGCTTCAGTTAGACAACTGATGCACTACGCTCAAGAAATCAGCTCGGGTTATTTCCGAGAATACGACTTTGGACTGGACAATTTGGCCATCTATGGGCAGTTGTCACCACCAGATTATGATTTGTCGAAGATAACTGCGCCGATTTATATGTTCTATAGTCACAATGACTGGATGGCGGGAGAAACTGATGTTATTAAACTATGTGATGGATTGGGGGATGCGTGTGCTGCACACTTTTTGGTCTCGGATGATGAGTTCAACCATTTGGACTACCTGTACGGAATTAGCGCCCCAGAAATTCTTTATGCGAGGGTCATTAGTTTAATGGCTAGGCACTGATAATTATTTTTGGAACTACAGAAGTATTTTTATTGTTACGTTATCTACCACTTGAGTTGCTTTAATAAAGTAATTTTCAAATGCAAGATGTTGTTACTAATATACCTTTAAAAACATACATTTTACTTAAAAACACACCAATTTCATCTTTATTTTGGTGAAACATAAAATAACAAAATTCTTGATGGTACCATGTCAGCTATTTTTATTTCTTTCCTGTCGAATCTCTATAAATAAGCACACCACGTAAATATAGAGCAAAAGACACTCAGGGCTCCTAAGATTCTTAAGCAACTAAGCAAAAGACACCCCGGCCTCGCGAGATTCTTAAGCATCTAAGCAAAAGACACTCAGGCCTCATGAGATTCTTAAGCAACTAAGCAAAAGACACTCAGGGCTCCCGAGATTCTTAAGCAAATAAGTAAAAGACACTCAGGGCTCTCGAGGTTCTTAAGCGACTAAGCAAAAGACACTCAGGGTCCCCGAGATTCTTGTGCAACTAAGCAAAAGACACTCGGGGCTCCTGAGATTCTTAAGCAACTAAGCAAGAGACACACAGGGTTCCCGAGATTCTAATGTAACTAAGCAAAACATCCGCAGTTCAACATATGATAATTTGTAGTACCATTAGATGATACAATCAAATCTAAAGTACCATCTGTTAAAAAACTTTCCATTCAATTTATTAGAAATATAAACAATATAGCAGATATACCTTTGACATTTTGTTGATTAAACAGTCAACAAAATATTTGATTAGATTAAATAATCTCACTATACAGATTTTAAGTGTGTACTAGTAATTACTACTAGCTCCTTAATTTTTTATTAAATTAAAAAATACTATATTTCTTAAGTTAAAACATCTTTACTGAAACATTTTAAGTCTTTATCTAGCCTTACTTGTTTTTGACCGTATAGAATCAATGTAAGCTTATTTTTCTAGAAATTTCTATTTGTACCGCATATATCTGACATCTAATCAAAAATTCCACAAATTTAAAATCACTATATTTCAATGCCACGTTCAAATGTCACGTTCGCAAATTACAATACATATCAAACGATAAAAACAACAAAAAGACAAAGTCTTGAGATTAAGATTAAAATCACATTGTATAAAAAGCCGAAGATGTATTTCGTAGGCTCATAGTACCGTTCAGATCCCCACATAAGTACAAAATGCAGCCGGTGCTAATTTTATTCATTTCTCTGTTCCTCTATTCTTCTGCTTCTCCAATCGTTCCAGCAGATGATGAAGATGGTCACCTCACCGTGGTAAGTTTCCAGCAACACTCATAAACAACCAGTACTAAAATAATTTAGCCTGAAATCATCACCAAATACGGCTACCCAGCAGAAGTCCACAACGTGGTAACCTCAGACGGCTACATCCTCACTCTTCACCGCATCCCTCATGGCAAAAACATGGACACGGTATCCACCAAACCCGTCTTGGTCCAACACGGCCTTCTCAGTTCTTCAGCCGATTGGGTCATCACTGGGGTGGAGCACGGTCTGGGATTCATTCTAGCCGATGAAGGCTACGACGTCTGGCTAGGCAACGGCCGTGGTAACTACAACTCCCGTAACCATACCACACTCGACCCCAACACCGATGCGGAATTCTGGCACTTCAGCTGGCACGAAATCGGCGCTATTGATATCCCTGCCATGATCGACCACATCCTAGAAACTACCGGTCAACCCAATCTCTATTACGTCGGGCACTCCCAAGGTACCACAGTATTCTACGTTATGGCCACCACTCGCCCGGAGTACAACGACAAAATCAAAGCCCACTTCAGTCTTGCCCCTATTGCATACATGAAACACATGACCAGCCCTCTAATGCAAATCCTAGCGTACTTTGTAGGACCCATAGATGCGCTTTTTGAAATGATCGGTTGGAACGAATTCCTACCCAATAATGAGCTCATCACTTTGGCGGGAGAGACGCTGTGCAAGGACGAAGAAGTCACCCAAGCACTCTGCAGTAACGTACTTTTTGTGATGTGTGGGTACAGTCCGTCGGAGCTGAATGAGACCATCCTGCCGGTTTTGATGGGACACTTACCAGCTGGAGCGTCGACGCGACAGGTGGTGCATTATGGGCAAGAAATTGTTTCAGGGTACTTCCGCCAGTACGACTTTGGTGATGACAATATGGATGTATATGGATCGTCGGAACCACCTTCCTATGATCTGTCGCTTATCACAGCACCCAGTTACTTATTCTACAGTCACAACGACTGGATGGCTGCGGAAGTCGATGTTGTTAGGTTGTGTGAAGAAATGGGTGATAGCTGTAACAAGTTCTTGGTATCAGAAGACAGTTTCAATCACTTGGACTACCTCATCGGAATGAGGGCCCCGGAACTGGTGTATGCGAAAGTGATAAGCTTAATGGCACGACATTAACATTATAACAAATTATCTTTTTGTCATAATTTGTACATGTATCTTAATAAATTCATTTGAATTTCAAGCAGCGATAATTCATGTACTTATAAAATATCTACAGGTGAATTTAGTTTACAAATCGAAAACAATGCATCTCTCATTATCCATAATCCTTCTACTAAATTGTACCATTGCAATATTAACTTTTGCATATTCTGTTCAATACGATGAGCAAGATGCTTTTCTCACCGTGGTAAGTGCACTTTCGTTGGTTGTTCAAACACTATAAGAAAGTTTTAGCCAGAAATCATCAGCAAATACGGCTATCCAGTCGAAGAACATTACGTAACAACCCCAGATGGTTACATTTTAAAGCTTCATAGAATCCCTCACGGGGCAAATTCAGTACTACCTGCTAAACCAGTACTTGTAATGCATGGTCTTCTCTGTTCCTCAGCAGACTGGATAATCACTGGTCCCAATCACGGTCTGGGCTATTTTTTAGCAGATCGGGGTTACGACGTCTGGTTAGGGAACGCCCGTGGTAACAAATTCTCCCGTAACCACACAACATTAAACCCTGACGCAAACCCAGAATTTTGGAAGTTCAGTTTTCATGAAATCGGTACCATTGACGTACCTGCAATGATCGACTATATTCTGGGGGTGACCAAACAACGCCAACTTTTCCACGTAGGGTATTCACAAGGTACCACCTCGTTTTACATCATGACTTCAATGCGTCCTGAGTATAACAAGAAAGTTCGTGTACATGTTAGTCTAGCTCCTGTGGCTTATATGGCATTTGTAAAAAGTCCAATCCTACGATTTTTGGCTCACTGGTTTCCTGTAGAAAAGCTTTTCGAAGCGATAGGCTTCCACGAATTCAATCCGAGTAACGAATTTTTAAAAAAGATTGCCGATAAGTACTGTAAGAAGGATGAAAGTATTCAGAATTTGTGCGCAAATGTGTTGTTTGCGTTGTGTGGGTACAGCCCGGCGGAAATGAACACCACGCTCATTCCAGTTATATTTGCACATACTCCGGCCGGAGCTTCCGTGCAACAGATTATGCACTACGCTCAGCTCGTAAGAACGGGTCAATTTCAACAGTACGACTTTGGTATCGACAACTTGGGAATCTATGGCTCACTTTTTCCTCCTCTTTACGAAATAAAGCATATTCAAACTCCCATTTACCTCGTTTATAGTCACAACGACTGGTTGGCGGCTTCAGAGGGCGTTTTTACACTTTGTAAACATTTAGGTGACAATTGCAAGCAAAAACTTAAAGTTTCCGACAATCTTTTCAATCACATCGATTACATGTACGGGACACGAGCCCCGGAAGTTGTATACGCAAAGGTGACTAACATAATGGCGCACTATTAGAATCCATTGTGTTTCTAGCATTTAAAGTACCACAATATAAAAACTGATCGCAGAACCTATTGTTTATTTCGAAACAACTCGATAAACTCTAACCTTCACGTAAAAGTACCTATAAATTAAAAGTTTCAAAATTCTTTATCATTAACAAAAATGCTCATTTGGGTGTCTCTTCTTTCGTTGCTTTTTTTAAAGCCCGTCACTCTCTCGCAAGTACTTCAACCTTTACCTCCGTCACTACAAGATGAAGTTAATTCAACAGTCGTAAGTTTCACAATTCTGGTTTTTGCAAAAACCTAAATCGGTTTCAGCCGGAGATCATTGCCAAGTACCACTACTCAGTGGAAGTGCACCACGTGATTACTGAAGATGGATATATTCTCAGTCTTCACCGAATTCTCCCCTCACGCAAACCCATCAACTCTTCCGTTCTTGTAATGCACGGAATCTTTGCTTCTTCTGCCGACTGGATCATAACGGGACCCAGCCATGGCTTAGGGTACATACTTTCAAACGAAGGGTACGACGTGTGGTTGGGGAACGCCCGAGGTAATCGATACTCGCGTAACCACACTTCTTTGGACCCCAAGTCAAAAGAATTCTGGGATTTTTCTTTCCACGAAATAGGAGTGTATGACCTTCCAGCAACCATAGATTATATTTTGGGAAAAATACAACAGAAAGAAATTTTCTATATCGGACATTCTCAAGGAACTGCCGCCTTCTACGTGATGTGTTCACTAAAACCGGAATATAATGCGAAAATTAAAGCCCAGTTTAGTATGGCTCCTATAGCCTTTGTTAATCATATGTTCAGTCCGATTATGCATTTTTTGGCGGCTTTCAATGTCGTGTTTGAGGTAAGGAGGCAAACTCTTGAAAAGGGAAGCTAATTTATTTCCAGAACGTAGCGTATTGGATGGATTTGAATGAATTATTGCCAAAAAACGGGGTTGTCAATATTTTGGGGGAAAAACTATGTGGTGCGTACTCGATTGGTGAATACGTGTGCAATAATGCGCTTTTTGCCATTGCGGGCTTCAATCTTGACCACCTCAATTTAACTCTTCTTCCACTGATTTTAACACACGTTCCTGCTGGGAGTTCGACCAAGCAAGTGTTGCATTTTAGTCAGGAAATTAACTCAGGTGACTTGCGTTTACCAAAATTATATAGAATATAGAGGTTATTTTAGGCCATTTTCGTCAGTACGACTACGGATATTGGAGTAATTTCAAACTATATGGTCAATTGTCCCCTCCAGACTACGATCTAAGCAAAATTACTGTTCCCATTTACACCTTCAGCAGCAACAGTGATTGGATTTCTTCGCCAGAAGATGTAGCCACACTTTCCAAACAATTAAAGAGTTCAAAAGGAGATTTTTTTGTGGCTGATGGCTCATTTACACATATAGACTATATGTATGGAATGGATGCCCCAAAGGTTCTTTATAACAGGATCCTAAGTTTGATGACGAGATATTAAAATAAAATGATTTTTGAAATTTTGTAGCTCTTTTTTGTAGTACCATGTGAAATTCGAGGTGACCCTTCTTTTCAAAAGTTCAAGTGCATTTAAAGTTATGTGAAGCACTTTTATCTTATCACTGTTCAAGAAAAGTGTAAACTACAAATAGATAAGTGGTCTATTGTTACAAAGACAATCGATACCTCTTACACAAAGGGATTAAAACAAATTAAAAAAAAATAAGGAGTATTTATCTTGCGTTAGTAATTCCACTTATTTAATATGATAAATATGCACACTTTCCACATCCAGATCATATTTCACAAATTGTATCACTAGAACTATTTTAATGGACCTAAAACTAAACTAAAATTTAATTTTGTATTTCAACAATAGAAACGTTTGACTAATCGATTCACTGTAGCAAATGTACAACGATACGTTTTTCATGTCAATCGTCTGATCTGTAATTAGAGCGTGGAACATCCAGGATTCACTAATATTAACGTTATTATATTATATTAATGGATGGTTTATGTATTTTTAATTTTCAAGACAAGTCATCAGTACTTTTTTGATAGCACTCAACTTTACCTTAAAATAGGTGCATGGTTATCACATAGTAATTTTGTAATTGCGAAAGGAATTTTTAATAATCTTACGCAAATGGTCAATGTTCTTATCAGTCGGTGTATCAGTGAATCGCTTTTAGATTAACAATAAAGTAATTGAGTGTGAAAATATTGCTATAATTATCTCGAGTGGCTAGCGTGACGTGTTTTTATGTATAAGGCATATTAGTGGTACGATTTGTGAAATGGAAAGTGTACATATTTTTCATTCTAAGTGGAATTGCTAACGCAAGATGAACATTTGCATTTTTTATTTGCTTTAATCCTTTTGTGTAAGAGTTATCAGTTGTCTTTGTAACAATAGATCACTTATCTATTTGAAGTGTTGTAGTTTCCACTTTTCTTGAATATATAAGATAAAAGTGCTTTACTTAACTTGTGCACTTGAACTTTCGAAAAGAAGGGTCACCTCGAATTTCACATGGTAATGCAAAAGAGAGCTACAAATTTTCAAAAAATCCGTCCATATAGTCTGTATGTATAAATGAGCCATCAACCACAAAAATCCTCTTTTAAATTCTTCAATTTTTTGGAAAGTGTGGCTATAATAATATACCTTAAAAATAGGGCAAAATTCCTTAAAATTTGTATCATGTTGAGTTTGGGTTAGAACATATGGGTTATCTTACTACTTACATTTACTTGTATTACCAAAATGGTGGGTTTCCAATCTTGCAAACAATAGTAATTGCACAAACTTGATCTTGAAATATAATTTTAATTGACTCCCTTAGTACGTAGTACAAGGATTAATTGATAAGTCATGTGTTTTCTATTATCGCTACTATTGCGAAAATTTCTGCCGGCACTTTTTTGCCCATATATATAAATACTGAGCTGTTTTCCAGTTATATATCAAACACCGATCAAAATGTTGGTACTGCTAGCACTTTGTCTTGTAGGCTTTGCCCAAACGTCACCCCTAACACCAAAACACCTTAAACCCGACCCAATTCAAGCCAAGAGTGACAATGAAGATACCTGGTTGAGCGTGGTAAGTACCACTTTTTATTCGTACCAAAATGTCTAACTTTCAATTTTAGCCCGAAATTATCACCAAATACGGTTACCCGTGTGAAGAGTACCACATCACAACGCCTGACAACTACATTCTAACCCTTCACCGCATCCCGCATGGCAAAAATTCCAAAGTAGCCCCCTCAGAAGTGGCTTATCTCCAACACGGCATCCTGTCTTCTTCAGCAGATTGGATTATATCAGGTCCTTCGAAAGGTCTGGCTTACGTTTTGGCAGACGAAGGCTACGACGTATGGATGGGCAACGCCCGTGGTAACAAGCTCTCTCGTAACCACACCTACTTGAACCCAAACACTTCTGACGAATTCTGGGACTTCAGCTGGCACGAAATCGGGTATTACGACCTTCCCGCTATGATCGACTTCGTTCTGGAAAAAACCAACAAAGATAGCTTGTTTCACATCGGGCATTCACAGGGTACCACTACTTTTTACGTAATGATGTCGATGCGACCGGACTACAACGCTAAAGTTAAAGCCCATTTCAGTCTAGCTCCCATCGGGTTCATGAACCACATGACGAGTCCTTTGATGCACATTATAGCTTTCTGGCAGAAACCTATGGGGCTTTTGTTGAACCTAATTGGAATTCGGGAATTCTTACCCAGTAACGATTTTATGTCTCTGGGTGGGAATATTCTATGTGGAGACGATTCCCTGACGCAGGTTTTGTGTACCAACGCACTTTTTGCAATTTGTGGGTTTAGCCCGAAGGAGATGAACGGTACGCTTTTGCCCATCATGAGTGGACACACACCTGCAGGAGCTTCCACCAAGCAGTTTCTGCACTATGCCCAGGAAATCAATTCTGGGCATTTCAGGAGGTACGACTATGGAATGGTTGGGAATTTACAAAAGTATGGGTCGATTTGGGCTCCGGATTACGATCTGAAGAAGATTACAGCACCGGTGTATATTCACTACAGTAATAATGATTGGTTATCTGGCAAAACCGATGTTGATAGGTTATACAGTGGGTTGGCAAACGTGCAGGGGAAATTTTTGGTAGCTGAAGACTCGTTTAATCATTTGGATTATGTTTTTGGGATACGGGCACGTGAGTTGGTCTATAACAAAGTTATCAGTCTTATGAAGCGGCATTAGAAGCATTTATATTAAATGCTGAAAGTACTAAAAATCAACTAGATCAAATGTTATCAAAAGTATTGTAGATCTTGCATTGAAATTCTCGTAGAGTTGCTACAGATCTGTATGTAGTTATTATATCCTAATAAAATTTGTTGCATATTTGCTACTTCTATAAATCGTAATTTCAAGTATATTGTACTATCAGGGTACTACATAGAGCCCTAAAAACCTTCTACAACATTGAACATCAGCACTATTACAAAATACTTATAATTCTAAAAAAATCTTAAAATCATAAAAGAAAACAAAAAACCGACAATATTGTAACAAATTTAATTACACCGGGCAAAATTGTCATTTCCGATTGCCGTATTCTCTTCCAAGGTCATGGTCTCGCACATCAAAATCCAATTTCATCGCCAAATTATAACAACAGACAATGAAGATACAATCGCTTAATGCGTGTTCTCATTCAAAAACCGCGTGAAAATATAAAAACAAAAATTCATTATACAATTAGCCAGTCGATTGTTAATATCCAAGAGGCTCCAATGTATCGTTTTATCTGGGTATTTGTAACAGCTAGTACCATCGCAGTTCCAAATCTCCACCCCGACACAGGCTTGAATATTGTAAGTACCAATCAGTACCACACGTATCACCCATCGGTTAACTCCAGATTCAACTGGCCACGAAGTACGGTTACCCCATCGAGTCCCACGATGTGGAAACGGACGACGGGTACATACTCACCCTCCACCGCATCCCGCATGGAATAAAAAGTGTCAGTACCATGAAGTACCCGGTTTTGCTCATGCACGGTCTTCTGAGCAGCTCAGTCGACTGGGTTAACATGGGGCCTGAAAACGCGCTTGGTCTTCTTCTGGCGGACTGTGGTTACGACGTCTGGCTAGGAAATCAAAGGGGCAACACCTGGTCACGCAAACACCTGACTCTGAATCCAGATATAGACGCTGAGAAATTTTTTGATTTCAGTTTCCACGAAATCGGTATTTACGACATACCGGCCAAAATCGACTACATCATAAACGCGACAAACAAAGAACAGATTTTCTACGTAGGTCACTCGCAAGGTACTACCAGTTTTTTTGTAATGGCGAGCGAAAAGCCCGAGTATAACGCTAAAATTCGTCTAATGACGGCTTTATCACCGGTGGCGCATGTCGCTAACGTACCTAACCCGTTTTTGGCACCTCTTGTTGATAATTATGACCTAGTTAAAGTAAGTTTGGAGATTTGTGTGGCCACGGTACTTAAAAAAGTTTGCAGACTGTTGTTCCAATCTTGAAAATTCACGAAGTACTCCCACATTTTGATTATTTCACCGACTTAGGGAATGTTTTGTGTAGTAAAGGTTCCCCGTACCAAGACTCCTGTGTGTGGTTCATCAACGCGATTGTTGGTTTCGACTGGCAGATTGACCCGGTAAAAACTGTATACTGATTTGTGTGGTACTACTTCTTGATTTTAGGACTTCGTTTCTGTTATTACGTCCAATACTCCTGCTGGTTGTTCCATTAAACAACTCATGCACTTCATCCAAGGAGCCGAGTCAGGCTATTTCGCCCAGTACGACTATGGGGTTGAAGTAAACAAGATCCAGTACGGTCAAGAAATGCCACCGTTGTACGACATCACAAAAATCACGGCTCGTGTGAGTTTGTACTACGCTGGTAATGACTGGTTAAACGCCGTAGAAGACGTTCTCAGACTAGCCGAAGAGTTACCAAATTTAGCTAGCGCGAAACAAGTACGCTACTCCCAGTTCAACCATCTGGACTTCCTATGGGCTCGCAATGTCGTCGATTTATTATACAACGACGTCATCGCAGAAATAACAGCTGAGAGCTAAGAAAAATGTGTCATCAATTTATCAATAAATATTTTGTTGACCCTAGTCTTGCCTAACACGGAAGAGCGATACTCCGCAACTTAAATAATTTTTGCACTTTATAAGGTCAACGAATAAAGTTCTTATTTGCGAAAAGTTTTCTAGCGATAACACATTCACAGCTGAAATGATCAACAAAAACATTTCGTTCGTGTGTGCCGTTGTGGTTTCGGTGGTTTTAGTGGAGATTTTTAATAGTACCAAGCCTAAGCACCCGTACGCAGGGTTGAACATCGTGAGTACTTCATCTAGTAATAATCGGTACTAGTTCTGGAAAAATCTAGGAACAACTCGTCACGAAATACGAGTACCCCATCGAAAAACACGAAGTCGAAACAGACGATGGTTACATTTTAAGCATCCACAGAATCCCCCACGGACCGGAAAAAACACCCACGAAACGAACTCCCGTTTTGTTTATGCACGGTTTCACACAAAGCGCCACGGACTTTATAAACCTAGGTCCGAACAAAGCGTTGAGTTTTCTTTTGGTCGATAAAGGGTACGACGTTTGGTTGGGGAACGCCAGAGGTACGACCTGGTCCAGAAAACACAAATTTTTAAACCCAAACAAAGACAAACAATTTTGGGACTATAGGTAGGTACGCACACGGTACGCATTTTTTGGTGTAAAAAGACTCGTGTTCGTTTTAGTTTGGACGAAATTGGATACTACGACGTACCAGCTTTCATTGATTATATTTCGGAAGTGACGGGAGCGGATTCGCTTCATTATGTTGGGTACTCACAAGGAACGACCGTGTTTTTCATACTCGGTTCGGACAAACCTGAATATATGAAAAAAATTAAGTTAATGACGGCCCTCGCGCCTGCTATGTTTTTAAAGGACCCCGCGGGCCCAGTTGGAGTTTTAATACGTTTTAGGATGATAATGGACGTGAGTTAAAACCGAAACATTTTGACATGATTTTAAAGTTTTTGTAGTGGTTTTTGGATATTTTCAATTTTTTGGATGTTCTCAGTGAAAACAGCTTCATTTCTAGTTACTTGAGGCATATTTGCAACGAACACTCTTTGTTTGTCGAATTGTGTCTACATCACACTTTTCTTTTACACGGTTATAGCTACGAGCAGATTAATAAGGTACTGATGGTTGTAAATTGGTTTTAAGTAATAACATTTTTTGGTTTTAAGACAGAGCTGTCCGTGTTGTATTCAAATACTCCAGCAGGGGCTTCCCCAAGACAGGTAAAACACATAGCGCAATTAATAGATTCAGGGGTTTTTAGTCGGTACGACTTTGGAAAAGAGGAAAATTTGAGAAAATATGGTCAAAAGCGACCGCCGGCGTATGATGTATTGAAAGTGAATGCACCTATTGCCTTGTATTATTCCAGCAATGATTGGGTAATCAATGTAAAAGTAATTATGTACGTTTAAAATTCATGGAACTATACTACAAGGTACTTATATTTCAGAATGTCGAGAAAATTAGTCGAACACTTCCAAATGTCGTTAAAAGCTACAAGGTTCCACTGGAAGCGTTCAATCACAATGACTTTATTTATGCTAAGAATGTGGTTGATCTTTTGTACGCAGAAGTGGTGAACGAAATTTTGAAATATTAATGTGTATATATAACAGTCACAATAGTAATAAATATTTATTTATTTAAGTTTGTTTATTAAATTTTGTTACACTTCATGGCCAACGTCAGTCCATATAGTACGCGGGAAGTGTTCTTTGTTTGCAAATTTGGGTCATACAGCTGTCAACCGTCTCGACGAAATTCTATTTGACACAGTGAAAAACGCATTAAGTGTGTTTATTTAGTTTTAATTTATTAATACAAACACAATTTTTCTACATTGACGTACAAAATAAACACCAGTGACGTCAATCTAAAAGAAGGTTTCACCAGTAAGTAGACATAAGCTAAGGAAGTATTTTTTTATTAAATCCAGGACGATTTTCTCGAAAATTACAAAAGTGTCGCACCCGGTTATATTGACAATAAAATAATTATTATTACATTAACAGCTCCTCACCCAAAATAATATTCACATCGTTTGTAGCTTAATTAATTAATTAGTTCTCTCTGCTTTAAGGAAACAATATCAATCAAATTACAGTTTATTTTAACATAAATACATACGCCATTGCTGAACGTGCTTTTAGTCGAATTCTTTCGTCTAAACATAAACAGTTAAAGTTATGTTAATATGTTATTAAGAGTACATTTTTCCCGTTGGTTATTTGCTTTAAATATGTTTTCATTGTCTGAACTTGCGCTCACTTTTATATAGTTTTTCAAAAAAGCGGGATTTGTTGGACTATACTTCGACGATTTTTTTCAGATGTAATATTTCGGAAATAATGATTCGTAGCATCCTTTATATTTCTGTATTAACTGCAATTTCCATCATTGTTATTGAAGTTTGGAATAAATCCAAACTCAAACATCCTTACGTAGGTCTCAATGTAGTAAGTATCACAGTTTAAATATCCAGATGTTATACTACTAAACATAGGAACAAATTATCCAAAGGTACGAATACCCAGCCGAAGTCCATCACGTCACAACTGAAGATGGATATATTTTAACCCTCCACAGAGTACCCCACGGAAAAGAAAATCATTCTAGAAACGGAACACCCATTCTACTTTTACCCGGATTCTTTCAAAGTGCTTGGGACTACGTGCATTATGGACCCGACAAATGCTTAAGTTTTCTTTTGGCCGAAAAAGGTTACGACGTATGGTTAGGAAATTTCAGAGGTACCACTTGGTCCAGAAAACACGCAGTCTTAAATCCTGACAAAGATTCGTCTTTTTGGAATTTTACGTTCGTATGCACCCATGGACGTTTTTCAGCTTTAAACTGCTACTATTCAGGACACATGAGTTGGGAATGTACGACATACCTGCATTTATTGATCATATTTTCAAATTTAGCAACCACAGTTCGCTCCATTATGTCGGCTTTTCGCAAGGAGTGACGGCCTTTGCTATTATGGGTTCAGAAAAAAGTGAATACCTCACTAGAGTAAAACTATTTACAGCTCTAACTCCTGCTATTTTCATGGGAAACCCAAAAAGTCCGTTGTTGAAGTTCGCAGTGAAAAACATAAGTCGTATAAAGGTGGAGTTTGTTAATAAACAAACTTTAGCTTAAGTTGATTTTTTTTCAGGCCTTTTTTAGTTTTTTTAATTACCATGAGTTTCCTAAACGAGGTGACTTATTTAGAACTTATATGGAACACATTTGCAACGAAAATTCGGTTTTTGCGAATTTATGTGTGCAACATTTTTCTATTCTTTGTGGTTACAATTACGATGAGATGCCTATGGTAAAAAAATTAAGATATCTTCTAAAACAAACGTTTTACCTTGACCGGTTGCAGGATATACTGTCTCTAACAAGCTCACATTTTCTACCTGGAACATCAGTGGCCAACCTAGAGCACATGCTTCAAATGATACGTTCTGGCAACTTCAGTAAATATGACTACGGCATTCACGACAATAAAGAGAAATATGGCCAAGAAAATCCACCACATTATAATCCGTCTAAACTTACAGTACCCACAGCCCTGTATTATGCGAGTAATGACTGGGCGATAGACGTTACGGTAACCTGATAAACACTCCCAAAATTACAAGCAATTATATCCACATGTCATTTTCAGAATGTAGAGAGGCTTACTAAAGTTCTGCCCAATATAGTGAAAATTTACAAAGTACCTTCGGAAAAATTCAATCATTACAATTTCCTAGCTGGAAAAAATGTCGTTCGATTGTTATACAACGCTGTAATAGATGAAATTTTAAAATACTAAAATTAAATATAGTGCTAAAAACAACAAAATTTGTGATGACCACGTAAAATTTCAGGTTGTCGGGGTCGTCATGTTGGATGCCTAATCTAATCTTTAAATAACTCTCCGTATTTATATGCGCATGGCTGTCTAATTTATTGTTCAACCTTGTTCACCGTTACTTGTGGACATTTTCGTTAATGTGTATTAAAAACTACCGAAAGTTACTTCTTTCATCCCAGAAAAGAGTAAAAAAACACTTTTTAGGTAAATTAAAAAAAAAAATGATTTTGTGGAGAAGCATTCGTTTCAAGTGGATTCTTCATAATAAAATTTTGTGATAAGGGCATCATCTTTTTAGCAAGGACACATGTATCAAGTTGGATAACTACGAGTACAGTATAATAATAATGATAACAGTATTGTATTCGCAAAATTTCGGAAAAATGAAGTAAACCGTTTTTGATTCAATCAGTAAGTAAATTGTTTCATTCATTAATTTTTTAGTCAAATACTCCGGCAGGGGCTTCCCCCAAGCACAATTAATAGATTCAGGGGTTTTTAGTCGGTACGACTTGGAAAAAGAGGAAAATTTGAGAAAATATGGTCAAAAGCGACCCCCGGCGAATGATGTATCAAAAGTGAACGCACCTATTGCCTTGTATTATTCAAGCAATGATTGGGTAATCAATGTAAAAGTAATTATGTACTTTAAAATTCATGGAACTATACTACAAGGTACTTTTATTTCACAATGTCGAGAAAATTAGTCGAACACTTCCAAATGTCGTTAAAAGCTACAAAGTTCCACTGGAAGCGTTCAATCACAATGAGTTTATTTATCCTAAGAATGTGGTCGATCTTTTGTACGCAGAAGTGGTGAACGAAATTTTGAAATATTAATGTGTATATACAGTGCATCTTTTTTAAAAGTGGCCATAGGGATTCCCATGTTAAATTTTACACCCCTTGTTAACTTTTGTTAGGATGAAAACCCAGAGATGATTTTTGCGGAGAAAATAGCCTTAGGGTTCTACTTTAATTTTCAGTACCACTTTTTGCAGTAATTTGTTAATCTGTGCTTTAAAAAATAAAAATTAATGTGATTAAAAAAGTATGGTACATCATAGACGGTTTTGACTTATCACTTTAACTTGTTATTTTTGACAGCATAATTTTGATTTAATCATTAAATACCTTTATTACAGTTTTTAGAAAAGAAACAAAATGATGTAATTCAAACATAAATGAAGATAATAAAACATAATTACACTGAAATTGCGTTTTTAATGTCCACGATCGAAAAAACCTGTGCCATAAAATTTTTCTTTAATTGTGTACTATGGCATGTTGACGAATTTCGGTCACTAAAAACCAGTAATCGAACGAGTAATCAAAGTTTAGAAACGTGAGGTAAATGTCTGTTTTTACATGACTGCCCACAATATTAGCGACAAAAATATCCAAATATTTTAATATCCTTCAATTTAAAGCATGACTTTAAAACAAAATCGACAAGAGATAACCCAAATTACATCCAGTAAAAATTTCAGCTCTGAATTTTTACTCAAACATAAGTTAACATGGGGTATAAAATTTAACATGGGAATCCCTATGGCCACTTTTAAAAAAGATGCACTGTATAACAGTCACAATAGCAATAAATATTTATTTATTTAAGTTTGTGTATTAAATTTTGTTACACTTCATGGCCAACGTCGATCCATATAGTACGCGGGAAGTGTTCTTTGTTTGCAAATTTAGGTCATACAGCTGTCAGTCGTCTCGACGAAATTCTATTTGACACAGTCAAAAACGCATTAGGTGTGTTTATTTAGTTTTAATTTATTAATACAAACACAATTTTTCTGCATTGACGTAAAAACTAAACATCAGTGACGTCAATCTAAAAGAAGGTTTCACCAATAAGTCCACGTAAGCTAAGGAAGTATTTTTTTATTAAATCAAGGACGATCTTCTCGAAAATTACAATAATGTCGCACCCGCTTATATTGACAATAAAATAATTATTATGATATTAACAGCTCCTCACCCAAAATAATATTCACCTCGTTTGTAGCTTAATTAATTAATTAGTTCTGTCTGCTTTATGGAATCAATCAAATTACAATTTATTTTAACATAAATGCATACGCTGATGCTGAACGTGCTTTTAGTCGAATTTTTTCGTCTAAACATAAACAGTTTAAAGTTAAGTTAGTATGTTATTAGGAGTCCATTTTTTCCGTTGGTTATCTGCTTTAAATATTATGCAGACCGCGGTCCCTTGGAAATTGCCCCCCGTAGCGCAAGAGCTGTTATTTATTTCACTTCTAGTAAAAATTATCACAAAATAAAGATTGTAGAACCAAATTTTTTATATAATTTTTCAAAAAAGCGGGATTTGTTGGACTGTACGATTTTTTTTTCAGTTGTAATATTTCCGAAACAATGTTTCGTAGTATCCTTTATATTTCTGTATTAACTGCATTTTCCATCATTGTTATTGAAGTTTGGAATAAATCGAAACACAAACATCCGTACGTAGGTCTCAATGTTGTAAGTGTCACAGTTTAAATATCCAGATGTTATACTACTAAACATAGGAACAAATTATCCAAAGGTACGAATACCCAGCCGAAGTCCATCACGTCACAACCGAAGATGGATATATTTTAACCCTCCATAGAATTCCCCACGGAAGAGAAAATCATTCTCTAAACAGAACATCGATTTTACTTTTACCAGGAATCTTACAAACTGCTTGGGACTACGTGCATTATGGACCCCACAAATGTTTAAGCTTTCTTTTGGCGGAAAAAGGGTACGACGTTTGGTTAGGAAATTTCAGAGGTACTGCTTGGTCCAGAAAACACGCAGTCTTAAATCCGGACCAAGACTCGTCTTATTGGAATTTTACGTTCGTATACACCCATGGATATCTTCAAGGTTTAAACATAGCACTATTCAGGGTGCATGAAATGGGAATATATGACGTACCTGCATTTATTGATCACATTGTCAAATTTACCAACAAACATTCACTCCATTACGTCGGCTTTTCTCAAGCAACGATCGCTTTCACTATTATGGGTTCGGAAAGAAGTGAATACCTCAGTAGAGTCAAACTATTTACAGCTCTAGGTCCTGCTGTTTTGATAGGAAACCCAATAAGCCCATTGCTGAAATTCCTCGTGAAAAACCAAGACAGTATAAAGGTGAAGTGTGTTCATAGAACCCAATTTAAACTGAACTGTTTTTTTTTTTCAGACATTCTTAAGATTTTTTAATTACCGTGAGATTCTTAAGCAAGGTGACCCATTTAGAACTTATCTGGAACACATTTGCAACGAAAATTCGATTTTTGCGAATTTATGTTTGCAACATTTGTTTATTATGCTTGGTTACAATTATGATGAGATGCCTATGGTAAAAATTAGATATCTTCAAAAACAGTAGTTTTACTACGACCTTTTTCAGGAAATGTTGTCTCTAACAAGCTCACATTTTCCTTCTGGTACATCACTGACCAACATAGAGCACGTATTTCAAATGATCTGCTCTGGCAATTTCAGCAAATATGACTATGGCATTCAGGGCAATAAAAAAAAGTACGACCAAGAAAAGCCACCCCTCTATAATTTATCTAAACTTACAGTACCCACAGCCTTGTATTATTCCAGTAATGACTGGGCTGTCAACATTGCGGTAACCTAATATAATACTCTCAAAATTGCAAGTAAAGTTATCCTTATTTTGTTTTCAGAACGTGGAGAAGCTTATCAAAGTTCTGCCCAATGTAGTGAAAACTTACAAAGTACCTTCAGATAAATTCAATCATTATGATTTCCTGGCTGCAAAAAATGTCGTTCGATTGTTGTACAGCGCTGTTATAGATGAGATTCTAAAATACTAAAATGAAGCATAGTGTTAAAAACAAAAAAATCTGAGACGACCATATATAATTTCAGGTGATATCGGGATCGTCACGTTGGAGGTCTAATCCAATCTATAATTAATTCTCTGTATTTATACACGTCTTGCTGTTTTATTTTTTGGTTAAAATTGTTGACGGGTACTTGAAGTATATTTCCGTTAATGTATGTATTTAAATTAAGAATTGGTGAAAAGTTATTTAGACAGACATTCTCTTCGTCCCTAAAGTACAGTCAAACAAATCCAGCTATTTTGATAAATTAAAAAAAATGATTTTGTGAATTTTCCACAATAAAATTTTGTTTTTTTGTTCGCCAAGACACATATATGAATTTGGATCACTGCAGGGTAATACTAATAACAACAGTATCTACTGCATTCGCAAAATCTCGGGAAAATGAGGCAAGCCGTTTTTGATTTAATCAACAAAGAGTTCACCCTTTATAAACAATTCTAAAAAACATGAACGCATTTATAAATCTTAAGTGTAGACACATAAGATTTTGCATATTTTAAATTCGATTTATTCAGCAAAATTTTGAGATTACGGTACAACTTTTTGGAGAAGATACTGTTACGAAATAAACCCATACGCCGCTCCGATACGACGCCTATGGGTTCTAGTATGCGCGGCTTTGATGACTCATTGTCGGTGACGGCGCCCGGAGAAGAGCCTGGTTTAAATGAGAATTACCATCGGGAGGAGTGTAGTCTAGACAACGACAGCTGAATGCAGTTAACAAGTCGAGTCCAGAGAATGTTGAGAGAAGCCAGCCAAGTTGCGCCGGAATTATTTTTGTACATAATCGATCGTAACGTAACAATACGTAGATCAATTTTGATTAGCGATTTACATGCTTGTAACGTTCGCGCCTTCAGTTATGCAACACCAAATTTAAACGATTTTGATTTAAATATGTTGTTTGACAAATCTACAAGGTAAACAACACTTGTCGACTGGACTATGTTTCCACCGGTTATGCACTTTTTTGTGTGCTGTGTTTTAATTCATTTTAGTAAACACGTTTTCACACTAACTGTTGAACCATCGGGAAGGTCACTTGAACGTCCAAAGCGCAGAAACAAAACGCAGACATTGGTGGCACATGACATGTTAAACTCCACTACGAAATTTTATCAAAAGGAAAAGCGTTATAACTCGTCGCGACTGAAGACGCAAAAGTGTTCATGTGAAGGAGACTTAATTCTAGCTTATGAATCTTTTTTGCGTGACCTTAAGGTATCTTTTTATAATTTTTACAAAAAAAACAATCCTCGTTGATGGCATAATGTGTTATAGTGTAGTCTAAAGTTAAATGATCTTTAAAGAATAAATTTGTAACAACATTCCATTGTCTCAATTGTGATGATTTTTTTATTCGCCGTGAGCCAAGAGGACGGAGCTTAACTGCAAAATCCTTATTTCTCTGCGAGAAATTGAAAACATGTTTTTGAATATCGTGCTGTACAAAGAATACTATGTATATTAAGAAAAAAATAAAGCCAAAACTAGGCTCCACCCATACCCGCCCCGATCTCAATTCTCAATTGTGATGAATTTTTCATTCGTTAACAGATCGAGGAGCGGGGCTTAATTGCAAGATCCATATTTGTTTACAAGAATTTACCATTTCAAACATGTCTTAAGTTTTTTGTTTTGTAAAGACGACTACGTGTATTAAGAAACCAAGCTAAATATATACCCCACCCACCCACCTTATCTCAATTGTGATGATTTTTTTATTCGTCGTCAGCCAAGAGGGCGGAGTTTAACTGCAAAATTCTTAATTCTCTACGAGAAACTAAAAACATATTTTTGAGTATCGTGTTGTTCAAAGAATACTATGTACATTAAGAAAAAAATAAAGGCAAAGAATAGGTCCCATCCACAGCTGCCATGATCTAAATAGTAATGAAGTTTTCATTCGTTGGCAGCCCTAGAGGCGGTGCCTAATTACAATATCCATATTTTCTTACAAAAATTTATCATTTTAAGCGTAATTTAAGTTTCGATGAATAAAAAAAAAAATCACACTTGAGAAAGGATGGGTGGGCGGGGTTTATATTTTGTCCTTTTTTTCTTAATATACATGGTATTCTTTGAACAACATGATACTTAAAACTTGTTAAAAATGTAAAATTTGCATAAGAAAATATCGATTTTGCACCATTTTAACCATGTTCTAAGTTTCTTGTTGTGAAAAAATAGCTATGTATATTAAAAAAAAAAGCATAATATAAGCCCCACCCACCCGCCCGATCTCAATTCTAATGATTTTTTTATTCGTCGTAAGCTGTGGGGCGGAACGTAATTGCAAAATTGATATTTCCCTATACAAATTTACCATTTTAAACATATTTTAAGTTTCTTGTCATGAAAAGATGACTACATATTTTAAGAAAAAAAGGGCAAAATATAAGCCCCACCCACCCGCCCTATTTCAATTGTGATAATTTTTCTTTCTTTTATTCGTTGTGAGTCAAGGGGGCGGAGTTTAACTGCAAAATCCTTATTTCTCTACGTGAAATTAAAAACATATTTTTGAGTGTCGTTTTATTCAAAGAATATGACGTACATTAAAAAAAAATCAACGCCAAAGATTAAGCTCCACCCATATCTGCCCTGATCTAAATAATGAAGTAATGAAGTTTTTATTCGTTGTCAGACCTAGGGGCGGAGCCTAATTGTAAAATCCATATTCCTTTACAAAAATTTACCATCTCAAGCGTGTTTCAAGTTTCTAAGAAGAAAAAAAATCATCACAATTGAGATGGGGTGGGTGGGCGGGGCTTATATTTTGTCTTTTTTTCTTAATACACATAGGATTCTGTAAACAATACGATCCCCAAAAACATGTTTTTAATTTCTTGTAAAGAATTAAATATTTTGCAGTTAAGTTCCACCTTCTTGGTTCACGGCGAATAAAAAAATCATTACAATTGCGATCGGGTGGGTGGGCGGGCTTACATTTTGTCTCTTTGTTTTAATATGTGTAGACTTCTTTTCACAACATGAAACTTAAAACATGTTAAAAATGGGAAATTTGTATAAGGAATTAGGCTTCGCTCCATAATTGCAAAATCCATGTTTCCTTGCAAAAAAGTACCATTTTAACCATGTTCTAAGGTATACTAACAAAAAAAAGGTAAAATATACGCCCCGCCCACCCACCCGATCTCATTTGTGATAATTTTTTTATTCATTGTGAGCCAAGGGGGCGAAGTTTAACTGCAAAATCCCTATTTCTCTACGAGAAATTAACAACATGTTTTTGAGTATCCTGCTGTAATGTTTAAAGAATATAAAAAAATTGCATATTAAGAAACGAATAAAATCAAAGATTAAGCCCCACCCATACACGCCCCGATCTCAATTGTGATGAATTTTTCGTTCGTTGTTAGATCGAGAAATTACCATTTGAAACTTGTTTTAAGTTTCTTGTTCTGAAAAGACGAAAAAGCAAACTATAAAGCAGTATAAAGGTAGAGTTTGTTATTAAACCAACTTTAAGCTAAGTTGTTTGTTCAGACTTTTTTTAGTTATTTTAATTACCATGAGGCTCCTAAACGAGGTGGCCTTTTTAGAACTTATTTGGAATGCATCTGCACAAAATTTCAGTTTTTGCGATTCTGTTCTTTGTGGTTACAACTGCGATGCGATGCCTGTGGTAAACAATTAAGATATTTTCAAAAACAATGAACAGTTCCCGGATAAGTATACTGTCTCTAACAAGCTCACATTTCTCTCAATTTGCTGTTTTGTTTTTTTTTTAAACAATAAGTACATTGTTTGATTCATTAATTTCTTAAGTCACCCTTTATTAACAATTTTAAAAAATATGAAGCAAAATTCTGAGATGACGTAGCCAGTTTTTTTACAGGAGATACGTAGATCAATTTTGATTGACGATTTACTGTGCATGCCACAAGCAAGATCTTGGAGCATTCAGTCGTGCAAAACCAAATTTAAACGACTTTGATTTAAATGCTTTTTTAATTATTTTGCAACTCTACAAGGTAAACAACACTTGTCGATTCGCCTGCATCTGTACCGGTTGTACGTTTTTTTTTTTTATTAATTTTAAAAACACCTTTCCACACTAAATGTTGAACCATCGACAAGTTCAGATGAACGTGCACAGCGACGAACCTAAACGCAGCCATTGGTGGCATACGACCTGTCGAAATCTGCAATGTAGCATTCTTCATATTTTTGTACTAACTGCAATTTCCATCACTGTTACTGAAGTTTGGAATAAATCCAAAGTCAAACATCCTTACGTAGGTCTCAATGTAGTAAGTATCACAGTTTAAATATCCAGATGTTATTCTATTAATCATAGGAACAAATCATCCGAAGGTACGAATATCCGGCCGAGGTCCACCACATCACAACCGAAGATGGATATATTTTAACCCTCCACAGAATTCCCCACGGAAAAGAAAATCATTCTCGAAACGGAACACCGGTTTTACTTTTACCAGGAATCTTACAGACTGCTTGGGACTATGTGCATTATGGACCTGACAAATGCTTAAGCTTTCTTTTGGCGGAAAAAGGGTACGACGTATGGTTAGGAAATTTCAGAGGTACTACTTGGTCCAGAAAACACGCAGTCTTAAATCCGGACGAAGACTCGTCTTATTGGAATTTTACGTTCGTATGCAGCCATGAATGTCTTTAAGGTTTAAACATAGTACTACTCAGGGTACATGAAATGGGAATATATGACGTACCTGCATTTATTGATCACATTGTCAAATTTACTAACCAACATTCACTCCATTACGTCGGCTTTTCTCAAGCAACGATGGCTTTCACTATTATGGGTTCAGAAAGAAGTGAATACCTCAATAGAGTAAAACTATTTACAGCTCTAGCTCCTGCTGCTTTCGTGGGAAACCCAAGAAGCCCGTTGCTGAAATTTCTCTCGAAAAACCAAGACAGTATAAAGGTGGAGTGTGCTAATAGAACCCAATTATTAAACTAAACTGTTTCTTTCAGACATTTTTAAGATTTTTTAATTACCATGAGATTTTTAAGCGAGGTGATATATTTACAACTTATCTAGAACACATTTGCAATGAAAATTCGATTTTTGCGAACTTGTGTGTGCAACATTTGTTTGTTATGTTTGGTTACGATTATGATGAGATGCCTATGGTAAAAATTAGATATCTTCAAAAACAGTCGTTTTACTACGACATTTTCCAGGAAATGTTGTCTCTAACAAGCTCACATTTTCCCTCTGGTACATCACTGACCAACTTAAAACACGTATTTCAAATGATACGCTCTGGCAATTTTAGCAAATATGACTATGGCATTCAGGGCAATAAAAAAAAGTACGACCAAGAAAAGCCACCCCTCTATAATTTATCTAAACTTACAGTACCCACGGCCTTGTATTATTCCAGTAATGACTGGGCTGTAAATATGACGGTAACCTAATATAATACTCTCAAATTACAAATAAAGTTACCCTTATCTAATTTTCAGAATGTGGAAAAGCTTATTAGAGTACTGCCCAATGTAGTGAAAACTTACAAAGTACCTTCAGATGAATTCAATCATTACGATTTTCTAGCTGCAAAAAATGTCGTTCGACTGCTGTACAACGCTGTTATAGATGAGATTTTAAAATACTAAAATTAAACATAGCGTTAAAAACAAAAACGTTTGTGATGACCACGCAGGATTTGAGGTGATATCGGGATTGTCATGTTGGAGGTGTAATCTAATCTATAATTAATTCTCTGTATTTGTACGCGTATTACGGTTTTATTTTTTGTTTAAAATTGTTCATGGGTACTTGAAGTATATATCCGTTAATGTATGCAAGTATTTAAATTAAGATTAGTGATTTACAATGCTTATGGTAACCATAAAACGTTCGCAAGATCTCAGAGCCTTCAGTTATGCAACACCAAATTTAAACGATTTTGATTTAAATGTGTTATTATTTTGCCAAACCTACAAGGTAAGCAACACTTGTTAACTCGACTATGTTTCTTCTGGTTATGCATTTTTTTTGTGTGCTGTGTTTTAATTAATTGTAGTAAACACGTTTTCACACAAATTGTCGAACCATCGGGAAGTTCACTTGAACGTCCAAACCGCAGAACCAAAACGTAGACATTGGTAGCACATGAGATGTTAAACTCCACTACGAAATTTTATCAAAAGGAAAAGCGTTGCAGACGTTTTTGAAGGATTTCTCAAATATGTCTAGCGTATAAATGGTTAATAACTGGTCGCGACTGAAGACGCAAAAGTGCTCATGTGAAAGAGACTTAATTCTAGGTTATGAATTTCTTTCGCGTCACGTAATAATAACTTAGTATAATTTTCACAAAAAAAAAAATAATCGTCGTTGATAGCGTAGTGTATAATAGTGTAGTCAATAGTTAAATGATCTTTAAAGAATAAATTTGTGACAACACTCCATATTTTATAAAGTTATATTAACACAATGCACCATAAAAAGAAAGTGGCAAAGTTTAAGTCAGAGCTATATTTTTTTTAATGTTTAAAAAATATATTTTCCTAAATGAGGAAGTATAAATATTACTAATCTATAGATTAGTCGGATATCCAAAGATTTGGAATTTCGGTTAACGTCAGCAGTTGTACTATAACTAATGTTGAATTTGTTGACAAATAAATAATTGCTGACTATGTACGATTTCTGAAACAGAAATTTCTCCAATATAGGTACACAAGATACAAATATTCTCTTCAGTTGTAATATTTCCACGACAATAATGTTTCGTAACAACCTGTATATTTCTGTATTAACTTCAATTTTCATCATTCTAATTAATAATAATAAATTTTTTTATTCAGCCATCAAGGTCGTGAATATACGACATCGGCATTGTCACAACATACAAAGAGTTAAAAGTGTCATAGTGTCATACAAATATATACACATACATACATTTTTACAGTACAATATAGACGTTAGCATTGATTCAGTACCTCATCAAAGCTATAATACTCTTTATCTATTAAATATTTTTTTAGTTCCCATTTGAATTTATTTGTTTCGCGTATATTTATTATAGTTGATGGCAAAGAATTATATGCGAGAATTGCTCTATAATGTGGGCCTTTTTCAAAGCAACGGGTTTTATGTTTGGGCACGCTAAGATAAGCATTACCTCTTGTGGTCATCCGAGAGTAAAGATCCCTGTTTTTTTCAAAACTGGTTTCATTAGATCTTACATACATTATTAATTTAAACATATAGAGGGAGGTTACTGTCATTATGCCAAGTTTTTTAAAAAAAGATCTACATGATTCTTTACTTGGTAAATCAAGTATAATTCTTAAAAATCTCTTCTGGGTTATAAAGACTTTGTTCCACTCAGACGATATGTACCAGAAAACAATGCCATAAGAAATAATGGACTGTACGTAAGCGTAGTAGAATTGCATAAGACTTGCAATGGGTAATTCTTCTTTTAGAACACGTACTACATAGCATGCTGTATTTATCTTACTTATTATATTTTTAATGTGTTCCGAAAATTGCAGTTTGTAATCTATGACAATTCCTAGGAATTTTATTTCACTAGATTGCTGAGTTTGCATATGATTTATAAATATGTTTTCAAAATTTTTAAAAAATAGCAATCCTGTTTTATCCACATTTAATTTTAGACAATTCTGCGTGCAGTATGTAATCATTTTGTTAATAACCGTAACTATGTTTTCAGAAAGCATATTAAGACTATGACTGCACACCATACACGAAGTATCGTCAGCAAATTGATAAACGTGCTTAATGTCCACGTGTTCATGTAGATCATTTACATACAGAAGGAACAATATGGGGCCAAGAATTGATCCTTGCGGTACCCCTTGCATGATATGACTAATATACGACTTTTTAGTTGTTAAAGTATTGTTAATAGTAGTCGTTACATAAACTCGTTGAGTTCTGCCAGTTAAATATGATGCTATTAATTTATTTACTTGCCCCCTAAGACCATATTTCTCTATTTTATTTAACAGGATGTCGTGTTTAATTGTATCAAATGCCTTTGACAAATCGAAGTAGACACCGGCACATTTTTGATGATCGTCAAGAGAATTCAGTAATGAGTCCATAAAATTAAATAAAGCAGTTTCGGTGTTACGATTAGGTACAAAACCATGGTGTGTTTGAGAAATGATAGCGTTACGTTGAAGGGAAATTAATTAATCTATGATATATAATTTTTTCAAAAATTTTTGAGATTGATGACAGAAGAGATATTGGCCTATAGTTGTTAATATTTTCTTTACTGCCTTTTTTGTGAATTGGAATAACTTTGGCTTCTTTTAACTCATTTGGAAAGTAGCCATCTGAAAAGCATTGATTAAGTATTTGAGTTAGGGGTTCACTTATAAGATTGTTGACGCTTTTTATTACGGTTATAGGAATTTCATCAATCCCATTTGAATATTTATTTGGTAACGTGGTTATCAATTTTTTTACTTCGTCTACTGTCACCGGCATAAGGTACATGCTATTATTGACATATTTGTTACTAACTGAATGATTATTATTATTGGAACTACTAGAGTTACTGTCCCTAGTCGGTTGGAATACTTTCATAAACCTATTGGCTAATTCTGATGGATCAGCAATTGGGACATTGTTATCTTTGATTGAATATTGGTGCTTACGACACCCCCGCTGTGTGATACTTTTAAAAATAGCAAACGTTGTTTTTGATTTATTTGTGGAACCATTAATTAATCTATAATTTTCATCTTGTTTTACTTTTTTTAAAAAGTCTTAAAGTCTCTTTTTTCCTGTTTAAGTTTTTGGAGCAGTTGTGGTGATTTATTTTTTATGTATAATTTATATAGATCATGTATATATGCTGACCACGTTTTCAAATATGGGTTGTTAATTTTTTTTGTTTTATTTTGGATGACAGGCTTTGTTATTAATGGATAGGATTTGTTGAAATGGTATTTGATTATTTCATAGAATTGTTTAAATTTACTGCTGCTGTCTGACACACAATAAACATTATGCCAAGATTCATTTCTAATGGCTTCGTAAAAGGTAAGATTATTTTTTGAACTTACGAAATTTCGTTTTTGAGTATAGAGGGTTTCCGACTCTATTTGCTGGTCCCCAGAAGAGATTTTCAATACTTGCGAGAAATGGTCTGATATATATGACTTGATGACTTCACATGCTAGAATCAGTATTAATATTGCTGAATATATTGTCTAAGAGGGATTCTGAATTTCTACCTATTCGCGTTGCTTCCCGTACATGTGGTATTAATCCAAAGCTTTGAAAAAGATGTACCACTTCACGAGCTTCGCCATTGTTACTGTTTTCCAGGAAGGCGACATTGAAATCTCCGCAGACTATTAATCGTTTTGATGAAGTACTAAAAACATATTGTAATAACTCAAATAATTTTTGGAGAAATACATTTTTATCTCCAGTAGGAGCACGGTATATACATACTACTAGAATATTAGGCTCGTTGGACGGTTTGATCTTTGCACAACAATATTCAAAGTCACCCTCTATCGGTTTAGGTTGATCGAGATTCACAGGAGAACTGTCAAACAGATTGGAATTTTTTAAGGATATCGCTGTACCACCACCTCGGGTGCTTTGACGGGAGAAGGTTGCAACTAGATGATAGTTTTCAGGTCCGTATGGTAAAACTTCGCCATCTTTGAGGCAGTGTTCAGTGATACCAATAATTGTAGGGGTTAATTCATTTACAAGATGACTGAATTCATTGCGTTTGTTTCTTAAACTTTGGAGATTAAGATGTAGTAGTGAACAGATTGGAGTTTGGACTAACTTGGTGTTTGTCTCGTCGTCGCCCGATGAAAATAACGTGTTACATAGCATCCACTTGGCCAGTTATTGGCATCTAGTGCTGAATTGAAATTATGCAGATCGACGGTCACCTTAAAAGATGTGTAAAAAAAATTGAAGTTTGGAATAAATCCAAACTCAAACATTCTTACGTAGGTCTGACTGTTGTAATAATTTAAACATGTTATACTAGTAAACATGGCAACAAATCATCCAAAGGTACGAATATCCAGTGGAAGTTGATCGCGTCACAATTGAAAATGGATATATTTTAACCTTTCACAGAATTCCCCACGGCAAAGGAAATCTTCTCAAAACCGAACATCGATTTTACTTTCACCCGGATTCGTATGGTTAGGAAATTTCAGAGGTACCACTTGGTCTAGAAAACACGCAGTCTTAAAACCTGATAAAGATTCGTCTTTTTGGAATTCCACGTTCGTATGCACCCATGAATATTTTTTAGATTTAAACGTGATACTATTCTACCTACGTTTATTGATCATATTGTTTCGTTGAACGGGTTAAGAGCCGAACAAGATGTTACAAGGCAGACGAAGTTCTCTTCTAAAAACTATGCGTGCCGATGTCTGACCCGTTGTGCCATGGACAGGTGATCGATCAGCTAGTCGGAACAGTGGAAGGTGTCGATCCCAATCTTGCTGATGTTCGGTTACCATTCTACCATTCCATCTGACTGTGGGTGCAACGGCGTAGTTCGTGTCTTCCGAGTCGCTAGGACTTCAGTCACCCTTTGGAATAGGTTTGACTCGAAGTTTCTGCCTTGGTCCGAATGGATTTTCATTGGGACTCTAAACCTGCTGATCCAATTTTCAATCAGCATTTTTGTAACAGTCGTGGGTTCTTGGTTCGACAGGGCATAACAGCTGACGACCATTATGTACTTATTTCAGTCCTCGGTTACCGGGAAAGGACTTGCTATGTCCACTACAATTCTTTCGAACGCTCCAGTCCTCGGTCACTTGACCGCCACACAGGTCGTACATTTCTTGCACCAGTTTTCGACATCTTCGCGACAACGGATCCAATAGAATCTCTCCCTGGAAGCGCCTCCTTGATTCTGGTGGCCGGAACCACCAACTGCAACTTTGAAAGAAGGTGACACGTCTTCCTCTTGGTCTTTTCTAAGGTGGGCTGTCGTCCATTATTCATCTTCTATGACTGATGTCCCTCCCACAGTTGAACGACGTTTCAAGCTACTCGATCTTGTCGCACTGTTTGCAGTTCTTTCACGGTTTGCTCGACAAAGAGTCCGCATTATTGTGGAGCTTACCAGCGCTGTGTCTAATTTTGAAGTGATACTGTTTGAGTCGTTCAAGCCATCTAACCACTTGTCCTTCGGGATTCTTCATCTGAAGGAGCCAAGTGAGGGTTGCGTGATCGGTTCAAATCAAGAATTCGCGTTCATAGAGATACTTATGGAAGTGTTCAACAGTCCTGACAATCGCCAGCAACTTCTTGTTCGTAACACAGTAGTTCTTCTCGGGTTTCGAAAGTACGCTGCTGAAGTACTCCACGACTTTTTCTACCTTGTCCTGCACCTGAGACAATACAGCGCCTATTCCGAGGTTGCTCGCGTCTGTGTCCAAAATTAACATTCTCGATGACTGAGGATAGGACAAAATAGGACTAGAGTATACTGCATTCTTCAATCTTTTGAAGGCTGCCTCACATTCAGCAGTCCAATTAAACTGAGACTTCAAATCCATCAGCAAACCCGTTGACAAACTTTCTGTAGTAGGTGCGTTACGGTAGGCTTGATCCCCTTCGCCGAAACAGTATTCCCCAGAAATTCTACTTCTTTTTGGAAGAGGGGGCATTTCTTCGGATTCAGCTTCAAATTTACCTCCTTTATTCGACCAAATACTTCTTCTAGGTTGGCCAAGTGCTCCTCAAATTCCTTTCCCATTACCATGATGTCGTCTAAATAAACCAAACATGGCTTCCATGTTAGCCCTCGTAATACAATGGTCTCTCACATGTAACCGGAGAATTACACAGTCCAAAAGGCATTACTGTAAATTGATTCAAGACGCTCCCGGCAGAAAAAGCGGTATTTTCCTTATCTTGTGGATGAATACCGACTTGCCCATAGCCGCGTTTGAGGTCCAACGTGGAGAACCAGGCCGATTCTGATAATCTTATGAGCGTCTCATCAATTCGTTGAAGCGGGTAACTATGCTTCTTAGCTACATCATTTAGCTTCCTGTAGTCTACGCAGAATCGCGTAGACCCATCCTTTTTGGTAACTAACACTACAGGCGGTGACCATGGACTGTTTGACTCCTCTATAACGTCTTCGTCTAATATTTTTTGTACCAGTTCCTCGACTTCCTCTTGTTCGCGGGACTTGACGGATCAGTTGCGCGTCTCCAGGGGATTGTCCAGATGCAAACATCCCATTGTGTTTCTGTAGAAACTCCCTTGCCATTTTCCGCTGATATTCGCTTAGATCACCAAGCTCTAGGGCAGGAATTTCTAAGTTGCTTTGTATTTTTTCATCGCTGTCATCAGAAAGATCTTCGTTGTGATGAAATATGTTCTTGACTGGTTCAAATACGGCAAGAACATCCCCACTCTTGATGTTCACGGCTTTAGGAAAAACATTTGCGACGTGTACAGGTATGTCACAATCGGTATTAACTAAAGCACTCGCAATCGTAAGGTTCTTCTTGGAGGTGTGCGATGGTTGAATAATGCCGAGGGCAAATCCGGGTTTGATTTCTATTCTACTGGAACAATTGTTTCTGCATTCCCTCTGACTTTCACATTCTGGCTCGCGATTGGTCTTGTAGATTTCGATTCAATGCAACGCTGATTCAGGATGAACTCTTCATTATCAAGACGTAGGACTTTCTCCACTAGATCGACCGTCAATCCATGGCGGCTAATCAAATTCATTCCCAGAATGAAGTCATCCTCAAATCAAGGCCTCAGATGATGTCTGGTACCTCGATAATTGTAGAACCTTCTAAAACTTCAACGTCACGAATGCCATTTAGGAAGGTTTCTGTAGCAAGCCTCTCTTGAAGATTTGGCGGTGCGTCGGAGTATGCAAGACGTACCAGTCTCTTGACATCTGCTTCAAATTCTTGAAGGGATTCTCCAACTTTCTGGGTTCTTGTCTTCACTTAGGCTGCAAAAACCTGTCCCAGATGTTGATCCCCAAATCGTTCTATAGCAGCAGTTAGGGCACTATATCTGTTTCTATCTTCTTCAGACAGAGTTTAGAGTATCTCTAGCGCTGCACCTGACAAAACTATCACTAAAGCTGTAGCTTTTTCTTCCTCTTCTCAGAGATTTGCCGTCGCTGCTGCTTCAAAATGCTAGTTGTATGATGACCAAGGCGTCTGACCATCATAGGTGGGTATTGAGTTGTTCTGGGGGCCGACAGCACATAACATGAACCAGTGGTTGCTACATTTTGATTAACTTTTCAAATTTCTTCATTTTATTCTCCATTCTATCTTCTATAGTTTTCACTCTATCTTCCCTACATTCCTGTACTGAATTCTCGAACTCACTCTTTAGTTCGACTCCCTCTTTTACTTTTCGATCCAACAAGACCACATTTTCTTCGACAAGATTTTGCATAACCTTCAAATTTGTTTCTATGTCCATCATTTGTTCCTTAATTCCTGTTACTTCACTTTTGTTTACTTCCACTTCCTTTTGGAATTTTTCAATTAGGCTGGTGATTATGTCATCTTTTTGTTTGTCTATTTTTGCGTCAATCATTTCCATTTTTTTGTTCATTTTTCCATCTCGTGCGTGCATCTGTGCAAACATAACCATGATCTTTTTCTCCATTGCTGAAGTCCAGTTCAGAATTCTTGTCTAAACTGCTCTAGATATTAATTTCAGACCTCACTTCCGACACCCGTGTTACGTTGAACGGGTGATTAAAATCGGCGTGGGTTAAACTCAACAATTTATTTCTTAGTAACTTGAATTTACACAACTATTTACAGACCGATTATGTACAAAATAATTCCGGCGCCACTTGACTGGATTTTCTCGACACTTGCTGGACTCGACTCGACTGAATAATAATCGTTCCCGAAGGTGGCCTTTATTTAAACCCGGACTTTCTTCTAGATGGTCGGCGATCGGGGTCTTTCTGGAGTACCCACCGCGAGTTTAACTTCCAGGCTTTTTTAGCGAATGCCGCTCGGCCGCCGTCATCATCGCCGTACGTACTAGAACCCATAAACGTCGTACTGAACCGGCGCATCCACAGGTACTCTATTATGTCGGGTTTTCGCAAGGAGTGGCGGCGTTTGCTATATGGGTTCGGAGATTTTAAAATACTAAAATTAAATATTGTGTTAAAAACAACAAAATTTGTGATGACCACGTAGGATTTCAGGCGATGTCGGGGTCATCGTGTTGGATGCCTAATCTAATCTGTATTTGTATGCGTGTGGCTGTTTAATTTTTTGTTCAATCTTACTTGAGGATATTTTCGTTAATGTATGTATTTAGATTAAAAACTGGTCGAAAGTTACTTAGACAGAACTGTTTTCGTCCCCAAAAAAGAGTCAAATAAATCCACTTTTTTAGAAAAATTAAAAACATTGATTTTGTGGTGAAGCGTGCGTTTCAAGTGGATTTTTCATAATATATTTTGTGATAGTGTCATCATCTTTTTAGCAAGGACACATGTATCAATTTGGGTAACTACAGTGTATTTGCAAAATTTCAGAAAAATGAAGTAAGCCGTTTTTGATTCAAGCAGTAAATAAATTGTTTCATTCATTAATGTTTTGAGTCAGCCTTTATAAACATTTTTAAAAAGGATGAATGCATTGATGAACCGTAAGTGTAAACTCATAATGCACATTTTACATTGAATTTATCCAGCAAAACTTTGAGATGACGTCACCAATTTTTTGGACAAGATACGTGATCACTTTTGATTGACGATTTACTATGCTTATTTTATTATGGTAACCGTAAAAAGTTCGCAAGATCTCAGAGTCTTCAGTTATGCAACACCAAATTTAAACGACTTTTTTTAAAGGTTTTTTTCAATTATTTTGCCTAACCTGCAAGATAAACAACACTTGTTGACTCGACTATGTTTTCATTGATTATGCATTTTTTTGTGTATGCTGTTTTTATTTAATTTTAATAAAAAAACGCCCTTTCAAACTAACTGTCAGACCATCGAGAAGTGCACATGAAGGTCCAAAGCGCAAAACCAAAACGTAGCCATTGGTGGTACACGACATTCCAAAATCCAAAATATAGCATCCTTTATATTTTTGTATTAACTGCAATTTATATTAGTGTTATTGAAGTGTGGAATAAATCCAAAGTCAAACATCCTTACGTAGGTCTCAATGTAGTAAGTATCACAGTTTATCCAGATGTTATACGACTAAACATAGGAACAAATTATGCAAAGGTACGAATATCCAGTCCAAGTTCACCACGTCACAACGGGAGATGGGTACATTTTAACCCTCCACAGAATTCCCCACGGAAAAGAAAATCATTCTCGAAACGGAACACCGATTTTACTTTTACCAGGAATCTTACAGACTGCTTGGGACTACGTGCATTATGGACCTGACAAGTGCTTAAGTTTTCTTTTGGCGGAAAAAGGGTACGACGTATGGTTAGGCAATTTCAGAGGTACTACTTAGTCCAGGAAACACGCCGTCTTAAATCCGGACAAAGATTTGTCTTTTTGGAATTTTACGTTCGTATGCATCCATATATGTTTAGGTTTAAACAAACTAGTTTCTGTTCAGGGTACATGAAATGGGAACATATGACATACCTGCGTTTATTGATCACATTGTCAAATTTACCAACCACAGTTCACTCTATTATGTCGGTTTTTCGCAAGGAGTGATGGCCTTCATTATTATGGGTTCGGAAAACAGTGAATACCTCAGCAGAGTAAAACTATTTACAGCTCTAAGTCCTGCTATTTTCATAGGAAACTCAAGAAGCGAAAAACCAAGATAGTATAAAGGTGTAGTGTGTTAAAAGAACCAGATTTATTAAGCTAAGCTCTTTTTTCAGGCATTTTTTAGATTTTTTAATTACCTTGAGATTCCTAAGCAAGGTGACTTATTGAGAACTAATACAGAACACATTTGCAACTAAAATTCGATTTTTGCGAACTTATGTGTGCAACATTTGTTTAGTGTCTGCGGTTACAATTATGATGAGATGCCTATGGTAAAAATTAGATATCTTCAAAAATAGTGGTTTTACTATGACCATTTCCAGGATATGCTGTCTCTAACGAGCTCACAATTTCCCTCTGGTACATCACTGACCAACTTAGAGCACGTGTTTCAAATGGTCCGCGCTGGCAACTTCAGCAAATATGACTATGGCATTCAGGGCAATAAAAAACAGTATGACCAAGAAAAGCCACCCCGTTATAATTTGTCTAAACTTACAGTACCCACAGCCTTGTATTATTCCAGTAATGTCTGGGCTGCAAACATTGCGGTAACCTAATATTATACTCTCAAAATTACAAGTAAAATTATCCTTATTTCATTTTCAGAACGTGGAGAAGCTTATTAAAGTTCTGCCCAATATAGTGAAAACTTACAAAGTACCTTCAGATAAATTCAATCATTATGATTTCCTCGCTGCAAAAAATATCGTTCGATTGTTGTACAACGCTGTTATAGACGAGATTCTAAAATACTAAAATCAAATATTTTGTATCATCTGTCTCAGAAGTTTATCCCAATGTAAATCATCAAAATTATTGTAAATAGCTGTCCAGATTTATATGTACGTACAATACAAAAACAGTGTGTTTGGGCACTGTACTTATGCTTACTGTCCTGATAACTCCTCGTCGTACAAATTTGAAATGCAAACTACCTTAAATTATTAAGTAGAATACATAAACGTAGTGCCTACATCGCGAACATTTTTATTATCTTGTTTCTATAAAATTTGCTATTCTTCCTTTTATTCACTCATGAAGTCATCCCGAAGAACGTCTAACTTGTTGTTTGCTTATATATTAAGTGATTTGTGTAAATTATTTATTTTTTGCTGAATGAGGTTTAAATAAAATTATCTATATCTATAATTATCTTTGTATGTATTACGATTATTGCTACTAAAATTATTATCAGCAGAACTTATGCGCACACTCTATGAAAATATCGTTACTGTTACTGTCGACATGACGAGAAGTTAAACACATGCCCTCATAATAAATGTTTGCAAATTTGTACATTTCACATTTGATGAAGGTGAAACTGAATTTGTTGTCCCATGTTTACCAATGTTGTATTTTTTTTTAAAGAAAAACTCAAGGCAACTTCTCGGTACGTATTGATTCTTTAGTTACATGAAAATTTGTAAGTTTTTTACATCTCAGTAATTATTTCAAAGATAAGATAATCACCACGAAATCCCTATTCACTTCAAAAGATAATTCATGACTATAAAACCCGACTGCATATGAAGCAAACACGAAAAACACATATATTTTATACGCCAGAAAAAGACGGAAGAGTGTTTTGTTTAGAGTGAGAATGTTTAAAGAGGCACGATAAACACCAACTATTTTAATTTACTTCCATTTAGCGGCCTGCTCCGGAACAGGTTGGTTATCAAATTTCAAGGTAAATCGGCGGCATAAATTGAAAAAGCCGATAGTTGACAGTAATGCAATTTACTTACATCAGCAAGTGTAAAAATAATACTTAGAGTGTGTAGTCGTAAACCAAGTGTTAATTAACAACCATGGATATTTAAAATCGTCACCAATTCCGTTGTCCACGATGTCCAAAAAAACGATCTTAGTACCTGTGATAATCTGCGTTCTTTCTACACTCAGTGTAACATATTTTAATTTTACACAAGAAAAACACGAATACGAGGGCCTAAAAGTTGTAAGTTGACACCAAATGAACGACACTTTAATGCAAAAAAAACAGGAACAGCTCATCGAAAAATTCGGGTACCCAGCAGAAGTCCACGAAGTGGTGACCGAAGATGGGTATATTTTAACACTGCATAGAATTCCCCATGGGAGGAAAAAAACACCTCAAGTAAGACCACCGATTTTGTTTGTACACCCATTTTCGTTGAGTTCTATGGACTATGTCCATTTCGGACCCAACAATTCTCTGAGTTTCCTGCTGGCGGAACGAGGGTTTGATGTTTGGATGGGAAACGTGAGAGGTACTACATGGTCGCGAAAACACAAAACACTCGACCCGGATAGAGATTCCGCTTATTGGGACTTCACGTGAGTGTATTCTAGCCACTGTACTATTTTTAAACATGCTCTTCCAGGTTATATGAACTTGGAATTTATGACATCCCTGCTTTGATCGATCACGTTTTAACAACCACCAACCACGATTCACTTCAATGCGTTGCTTATTCCCAATCAGCGTCTCTATTTTTAACTATGCAGTCAGAAAAACCACAATATATTGAAAAAATTAAACTGCTGACTGCTTTCGCTCCTGCAGTTTTTATGAAAGATCCAAAAAGTCCTGTTTTAAGATACTTAGCCGGTGCTTGGGAACTCGAAGAGGTGTAGTACCGATCAGGATAGCAAGTTTCGTAACGACATTTTTTTTCCAGAAAGTGTTGAACGCTCTTAGTATGCACGAAATATTTAATACGAATGGTGTTCTTGCCAGTTACTTCCGGTTTATTTGTAGCGGAAACAAAATTTTTGTGGATTTGTGTTTGCATCATGTATTCGTAATGTTTGGGTACAGCTATGACGAACTGGATATGGTATATATACAAAAAACATTTTGAAACTTACTCACTTCCTCCGTTGTTTTTTCAGAGTTTAATACCCTTGTTTTCTTTAAATACACCTAATGGTATCTCGCTGAAGCAGATGATACATACGTTTCAAATGATACAGACAGGTAACTTCCAAAAGTATGACTATGGATTAGAAAAAAATTTGGAATTGTATGGTCAAGAACAACCACCACATTATGATCTTTCTGAAGTGACGACACCAGTGGCACTATACTATGCCGACAATGATTGGGCCGTTAATATTAAGGTACTTATAAATAAATAAAAATTGTACACTAATTTGTTGGTATTTTAGAATATGGGCAAGCTTGTGCGAGCACTCCCCAATGTAGTGAAAGAGTACCAAGTACCACTGGCAACTTTTAACCACTACGACTTTATTAGTGCGAAAAATGTTGTTAATCTTCTGTATAACACCGTCATAGAAACTATTTTGGAATATCGTTAGGTCCACAAAACAAATAACTTTATAGGATTAAATAAAGTGTTACCAATAACAATGCTCATCAATATTTCAATTTCAAAACGCCACTCCCTTCCATTTCGTTACAGAAACAAGAATTAATATTTTTAAACAGAAAAAAATAATTAAGACACACGCATTGTTAGCTTAATTTGTTTATTATTTATGCCATAAATTATATCAAGGTCCATGGGTTACGGTTCTCTCAATAACTCGGGAATTGAAAATGTAAAAAAAAAACAGAAAAAAGCGTAGATTTGTCAAGGTTGAACCCACAGTATTGAAGAATATCTAATTCCAAAAAGTGCCTCAATAACTTCTCTGAAGTCTGAAAAAAGTTACCAAAATATTTTTATGATCACTTTTAAGTAGAGTTTTTGGTTCCACCAAAAAAAATGTATGTAATTTGTGCAAAACTCTTAAATTAAAACTCCTTGACCTTTGATCTAGGACAAAACGAAAGACAATAATCTTGCGGGGTACTAATTTTGACTAAAATTGTCCGATAATTTACTTGAACAATATTTAAAAATCTGTAATTACCTTTATGAGAGCAATTTATCACGTCTGAAATTCGTCGACGAAAATTTTTCAATGTTAAGTAATTCGTTAAAATTATACTCCTATTATTTACTAACGTGAATTTGCAAACTCGGCAAATTGTAATTATTTCTTCGCTAGATTAAATCTTCACTGAACCTAAAAGAATCCACTTAGGATAGAGTTAACACAGTATATATTAGTGCATGTATGTTTAAAATCAAGTTTTTTGCAAACAACAAATCCATTTAGCTGCAAGTAACCAAACACCAGTTCCTTGAAATAAATACTTATAGTTAAAATGGTTCCTAAACCCACCGTTTTGACACTCCTGACAATTTTGTTGCCGGTATGCAGTGCGTACAGGGATGGCATAAAGTCAGATATTGGTTTAACTCCTGTAAGTTTCCCCATATTTATTCCAAACGTACTTAAAAATAACAACAGGTCGAAATGATCGAAAATCACGGTTACGACTGTGAGACCCACTATATAACAACAGAAGATGGCTACATTGTGACATACTATCGGATTCTAACTTCATCCAACTCGACAAAGCCCACGATCCTAGTATTACATGGATTATTCTCGTCGTCTGCTGACTTCGTCAACACTGGTAACAAGAGCCTAGCGTTCATTCTGGCAGATGATGGTTACGACGTCTGGCTTGGTAACGCTAGAGGGAACGCTTGGTCCAGAAATCATACAACTCTAGACGTAAAAAACGACTCGAAAAAATTTTTCGATTTTAGTTGGCACGAAATTGGGTACTACGACCTTCCGAGTGCTATTGACTACATACTAGAAACAACACGTGAAGACAGTCTGATGTACGTGGGGCACTCGCAAGGTACTACATCATTTTTCGTCCTAGGAAGTACCAGACCAGAATACAACAAAAAAATTAAACTTGCGCATTTATTGGCTCCAGCTGGAGTTATGGAAAACTGTCCTAATCAAATGCTAATCAATCTGTCCAAACGTATTGACCAATTTGCGAAAATTCTGAAGCAGATGAAAATATACGAAGTACCATTAACCGAAGTTGTGCAAATCATAGGGTCCCAGATGTGTACTCACCAGCAATTACATTTAATTTGTGATTTTCTTTTTAATCAGTTGCCTATGATAGCAATAGACGCCATAGACAAGGTAACGCACACCCTGTTCGAAAAAAAGCCAAATTTTAAATATTTTAGGACGTACTTCGTGTAATTACAACCAACTTTCCTTCGAATGCAGCGATCAAGCAGGTGATGCATTATGGACAATCAATTAAAAACGGTATAATTTAATGTATGAAATTAATGATCTAAGGGGATCAATTTTAGCTAGATTTGCCCAATATGATTATGGTCCTACTAAGAATATGAAAAAATATGGTTCCGAGGAACCACCGATTTACGATTTTAGCAAAATTACAGCACCAGTAGCTTTTTACTACGCAGACAGCGACGGATTAATCTCTGTTGAGGTAAATGAGGTAAAAGTGTAAACAAAAAGTAACTTGGATGTTGTAGGATTCAAAAATAATGATCAGTCGACTACCCAATGTTGTACTTGACTATTTAGTGCCTAGACCTGGATTCACGCACGGTGATTTTCTTTTTGCCAATGACGTTGTTACTCTTCTCTATGATGAAATGTTAAAAATTTCTAACTCACAATTAAATATTAAATAAGAGAAATAAATCTACAAAATAGTTCATTTCAAATCACAATTCTGAAAAATGACGTCGGTACTGATTAGTCGATAAAAGATAGCCAGCATTAAGTATAAAAAAAATTATTTATTGTTCTTTTCAATTTTTTTTTTATTATGTACCACCTTGTGACTTTCATTCCCTTTAAAAAACAGCCTTAACTGACACATCCAATATAGTCCCGGTATGTATTCTTTTTATAGACACCAACTTCACATTTTTACTTGTAATTCGTAAGATTCAAATGATCGCAAACCATGGTTATGTAGAAGATCACAATCGTCGATCATCCTCAGGATATTAACAACAATGGTACTACCCAAAATAATCAGTACTTTTAGCCCATAGACTCACAGGCTCTTCGGCTTTCAAAAAGAAGCCTGACTAAGACGTCTGGGTACTACAAAAATTCTAAGAAGCGCAAAAGCCGGTACTTTTGCAAATTTTTCAAAAATAATAACCCCCTTGTATGTTAATCTGCAAATAAAACGTTTAGTTGACAAACTTTGTGTTTTTGTCTGTAATCCTGACGTTTAATGAAAATGTGTCAAAAATGACATATTTAAAGTGCGAAGTAATCCCGTAATAGAAGAAGTACTAACAGAAAACATGATATCGTATCTCAGAAAACGTATAATTATAAAAATGTTTACCTTTAACCTCTACTTTGGTACATAAGGTGATCTTCAAGATTGTATCTGCCACAAGTAGATCGATCTACTTATCAGTTAACAATAACAATATAATATTGTATAATAATAGTACCACATTTTTTTGACAAAAATATTTTTTTACTGTGTTTCGTATATCTTGCTAACTTTGGTGTGAACACTCCACGAAAAGTACGAAAAAATAATACACCTTTAAATTAAAGTATGCGTACAAATGTATATTACTCCTACAGTTATATTGTCCTTGGTGCTAAGGCAGAATATTATTATTGTATAACTTTGAATTTGAATACTATGTAGTACTTTTAACGTATTTTTTATCGACCAGTTGATATGAAGCACTTTGTATACAAATTATAACTTTATTAGTTGCTGATTAAATCAGTAAAAGATTACTTTCTAGGTCATAGTGTGATAACTTTTAATATAAACACCACTCTGGTACCACACAGATCAGAGTCTACTTCACCACCATGGCGCTTTTTTCTATCCTCCTAACGTTATGTCTTCTGAGCATTCACCAAGTCCTCAGCGACAAATCCGATATAGGTCTCAATCCGGTAAGTACTCCACCAAGTCAATCGTCTTTAATTTCCCCCCATTCCAAAAGGGTGAAATGGTCGCAAATCACGGTTACCCATCAGAAACTCACGAAATAACAACAGACGATGGCTACATTATAACATTGTATAGAATACCTCACGGAATCAACGACGATGGTACCGCCAAAAGACCTCCAGTTTTGCTAATGCATGGTTTCAGTGCCTGTTCTGGCGAATTCGTGTCGCTAGGTCCCGAGCGTGGCTTAGGGTATATTCTAGCAGACGCAGGGTACGACGTATGGCTTGCAAATGCACGTGGTACTGCTCACTCGAGAAAGCACATAAGTATCGATCCAGATCTTAACCCAGAACAGTTTTTCAATTTCACGTGGCACGAAATAGCGATTTATGATGTAGCCAATTCGATCGACTATATTTTAGAAGTAAACGGAGATGAGAGTGTGTATTACGTGGGGCACTCGCAGGGTACTACCGTTTTCCTTGTTCTCGCATCAACCATACCTGAATACAACAACAAGATCAAACTTGCAAACTTGATGGCACCAGCAGCTATTATTAAACACTATCCCAATACTTTCATTCAAGGAATTTGTAAGTACGTGGATCGTGTATGGGATCTTCTTCAAAAGTATAGGATATACGAGATTCCTTTGGTTGGGACGATAAGGGATACGGTGACTACTCTTTGTGTTAACTACCCGGATGAGGAATCCGATCCACTATGTGCGTTCATACATGATTCGATGCTTTCAAGGATCGATGAGGTGAGTTTTAAGTAGTACCGATTGAGATTTTCTAGAAGAATTTTAGGCGGATGTACCTGTAGTCGTATCAAACTGTCCTTCCGGTGCCGGTTTGAAACAATACGTACACTATGGGCAGCTGGTTCGAGATGGTAAGGTGTAGTTTAATTAGTCGTGGTACTACCAACTATACATTTTAGGAGGATTTCGTCAATGGAATTATGGAACTGAAAAAAATTTAGAAGTTTATGGTACTGAAAATCCCCCTGATTATGATTTGTCACTAATTACGACACCGGTTGCCTTTTATTACGCAAAAAATGACGGTTTGATTACTGTCGAGGTACGAATACTGTAGCAAATTGTTAAGCGTATTTTATCAATTGACTGATTCCTGTAGGATGAAAATACTCTAGCTGCCATGGTTCCAAATGTTGCTATCAACTATATGGTACCAGATGACTCCTTCTCACATGGTGCTTTTGCGATGGCTGATGATGTTGTTGAGCTGGTATACAATGAACTACTAGATATCATGTCACAGTATTAAATAAAATCTGTCAAATATTTTTACCGTTATTCTCGCGATACCCTAGATACTTTCCTAGAAACTAAACTAAAAGTGGAAACAAAAAATAACTAGTAGTTAGTACTACCCAATGCACTTGACGGTGATTTTTTTTTAACAAAGACGTTGGTACTCTTGCCTAAGATAAATTGTTAAAATCTCAAATCACAAGGACGAAAAATGACGTTAGTACTGATTAGTCGATAAAAAGATAACTAACATTAAGTGTTAAAAAATGTGTACATCATCCTTTAGAAACGGTATTTTCAATATGTTTCACTTCGCTGTTATTATTCTGGGTTTGTTTAATCTCCAAACAGCCTTAAGCGACCCATCCGATGTAGGCCTAAGCCCGGTAAGTACTCTTCTATAGACACCAATTTTCCATTCTTACTTCTACCTCGTAAGATTCAAATGATCGAAAACCATGGTTACGTAGGCGAAACCCACCAAATCATAACCGACGATGGATACATCCTCACCTACTATCGCATACCACACGGTATTAACGACGACGGTACCACCCAAAAACCGGCCGCACTTCTAGTCCACGGAGTCACAGCCTCTTCGGCTGATTTTGTGGCGATGGGTCCAGACCGCAGTTTGGCGTACATTCTAGCCGACGCCGGCTACGACGTATGGCTTGCAAATACCAGAGGTACTGCTTTTTCGCGGAACCATACAACTTTGGACCCAGATGTAGATACAGAAGAGTTTTATAATTTTTCGTGGCACGAAACCGGGTACTACGATCTACCGAAAGCTATTGATTACATCTTGGAGTTGAAAGGGGACGACAGTTTACATTACGTGGGGCACTCACAAGGTACTACAGCGTTTTTCGTTTTGGCCTCCACTCGACCGGAGTATAACCAAAAAATCAAACTGGCGTCGCTGATGGCGGGGGCTGCTATAGTGAAACATTACCCGAATATACTTATACAAGAGCTCTGCAAGTATATAGACAGAGTTGCGCTCTTGTTAAACAGGTACAAAATATACGAGTATCCTTTGGTTAAAGAAATGAGAGATTTTGTGAGTACGACTTGCGCAGATCCTAGCTCTAATGAAATTTGTGACTATATTTACAACATGAAATTTTCCGGGGATGGGTTTCGAGTTGAAGAAGTAAGTATGTTAGATTTTGTAATCAAAAGTGCTGTTAATAGTACCGTAGGAATTTTTGCCTGTTATTTACACCAATAATCCTTCAAATACTGGAATGAAACAATATGTACACTTTGCTCAACAAGTTAGAGACGGTAGGTGATCTTACTATTCTAACTTTTTTTGTATAGTGTTGTTTTAGGGGGCTTTCGGTACTTCGACTATGGTACCGAAGCAAATTTAGAATTGTATGGTTCTGAATCGCCACCAGATTACGATCTATCCAAAATTTCAGCACCGGTTGCTTTTTACTATGCAATAAATGATGGGTTAATAACAGTAGAGGTGTGTATTCAATCATGTGGTACTTAATCATAAAGCACGTACATTTTTAGGACGAACAAAAACTCATGAGTATGGTACCAAATGTTGTACACGATTATCTAATATCTTACGACCTCTTCAAACATGGGGACTTTCTCTATGCCAACGATGTTGTAGAACTGGTGTACAAAGAATTAATAAATGTAATGATGACATATTAATAAAAAACATGATATCATATCTTAATAAAAACAATTACAACCGAAAATGTTTACTCTTAATCTTTACTTAACATGAATCTTGAACTACGTAGACCATCTCACTCATCAGAGTTTTTTCTCTTGATATTCCATTGCATAATTTGTATACTATATAGGTACTACTTTTGACGTAATTTTTACAGACTAGTTGATATGAAACAATTTGAATACAAAGTATGACTTTGCGTTAGATTAAATCAGTAGTAGTACCAGAACAATGTAATAGATTACATTCGAGATGAAGGCTTGATAACTCTTTAATATAAACACAATCCTGATATCACACAAATCAAAATCTTCTTCTTCATCATGGCGCTTTTTTCTATCCTCGTCACGTTATGTCTTCTGAACATCCACCAAGTCCTCAGCGACAAGTCCGACGTAGGCCTTAATCCGGTAAGTACCCCAACAAGTCAATCGTGTCTAATTTCCCCCCATTCCAAAAGGGTGAAATGATCGCAAATCATGGTTACCCTTCAGAAACTCACGAAATAACAACAGATGACGGCTACATTATCACACTATTCAGAATACCTCATGGAATCAACGACGACGGTGCCGCTAAAAGACCTCCAATTTTGCTAATGCATGGTTTCGGGGTCTGCTCTGGTGAATTCGTGTCGCTGGGTCCTGAACGTGGCCTAGGTTTTATTCTGGCAGACGCTGGGTACGATGTATGGCTCGCAAATACACGTGGTACTGCTTTCTCAAGGAAGCACACAACTATCGATCCAGATCTTAACCCAGAACAATTTTTCAATTACACGTGGCACGAAATAGCGATTTATGATGTTGCCAATTCGATCGATTACATTTTGGATGTAAATGGAGATGATAGTGTGTATTATGTAGGGCACTCACAGGGCACTACGGTTTTCCTAGTTCTGGCATCCACCAAACCTGAATACAACAGCAAAATCAGAGTTGCAAACTTGATGGCGCCAGCAGCTATTATTAAACACTACCCGAGTACTTTAATTCAAGGGATTTGTAAGTATGTGGATCGTGTTTGGAGTCTTCTGCAAAAGTATAGGATATATGAGATTCCTTTGCTTGGGACATTAAGAGAAACGGTGACTACTCTATGTGCCAACTATCCCGATGAGGAATCAGATCCACTATGTGCGATGATACATGATTCGATATTATCGAGGGTCGATGAGGTGAGTTTTAAAAGTAGTACCTATGGAGATTGCTTAAGGGAATTTTAGGCGGATGTACCTGTAATAGTAACAAATTGTCCTTCCGGTGCTGGTTTGAAACAGTACGTACACTATGGGCAGCTGGTTCGAGATGGTAAGATATAGTTTAATTAATCGTGGTACTACCAACTATACATTTTAGGAGGATTTCGTCAATGGAATTATGGAACTGAAAAAAATTTAGAAGTTTATGGCAGTGAAAATCCCCCTGATTATGATTTGTCGCTAATTACGACACCGGTTGCGTTTTATTACGCAAAAAATGACGGTTTAATTACCGTCGAGGTACGACATTGTAACCATTTTTTCTGGGTATTTTATAAATTGACTGATCTGTTTAGGATGAAAATCTTCTGGCTAGCATGGTTCCAAATGTTCCTGTTAACTATATGGTACCAGATGACTCGTTTGCACATATTGATTTTGCGATGGCTGATGATGTTGTTGAACTGGTATACAACGAACTACTAGATGTTTTGTCAAAATATTAAATAAAGTTACATGAAATCGTCAGATATTTTACCCTTACTTGTCCTGATACGTGATATTTATTATTTATTATTATCTTATTATTATCTCACAACATCTAAATTAATTGCTCATATAAAACACGAGTATGTGATAAGATTTTAATCTTAAAAACACTATCAGCCAAATTTTTACCTCTTTTCCATTACTAGTGGTACTATCCCAGGCAACATGATGTCGTCTTTTTCACGTGAATAAATGGTCATCATTTACGTCATAGTGGCCAAAGATTTCACGTGATATTGACGTACCAATGACAGTCAAATGTCTCGTCCAGATGACGTCATTTTCTAACGAACTATTGACGTGATGTACTGACGTCTTAGAGTCGTCATTTTGTAACGAACTATTGACGTGATTTACTGACGTCCTAGAGACGGCATTTATTGTCCATTTTAAGACGTTTTTTATATTTTGATTTTTAGAAAAAAATGTGCAATAAATAAAACGCTGAAATAATTTTATATTTTTATATTGTTTACCTTAAATAAAATATTATAATTCGTTATAATCACCAGGTAAAGCCCAAAACAAAGTATATATTAATTAAAGTTAAAACAAATTAGTGTAAAAAAATTAAATTTAATACAATTATGTACAACCAACAATGAACTTCAATAAACAAATAAAAAATATGTCAATTAAACAAATTAAAGATTAACCACTCCTAAGAACACAAACAAATCTACATACAGGTAATTACGAGTATAATTAGCATAAACAAAAAAATTGGTCTAAAGAGTTTAGACAGTACTTCCCTCGCTGTCGGAAAAGAAGTCGGTTTTGTAGTTCCTGAGTAAATCAATAAAATAAATTTACGCATTCATTAATTTTTTTGAGTCACCCTGTATATGCAAATCCAAAAAATATGAATGGAGTGATAGATCACAAGTACAGACTGATCATATTTTGTACATTTTAGATATGATTTATTCGGCAAACTTTCGAGCTGACGTCATCAAGTTTTTGGAGGGGATAAGTAAATATTTTTTGACTAAAGATTTATGATGCTCTTTATAGCCTTAAAACATCTGCAACATTTCAAAGGATTCGGGTTAGCAGATTCAAAATTATATTTCAAAATGTTGTTTTATAATTTTGATTTTTTTTCCAAAAATCTGGACATTTCGGATGAAAAGTCAATTCGGAGTTGTAAACTACATGTGTAGGACTATGTTATTTTATACAATTTAAAACCCATTTACTATGTACAATTTTGAAGTGACGTCATCGCATTAGTGGTGGGGATGATTAGACAAATTTTGGTTAGCGTTTTACCATCTACATGAATTTCCTAATATAAGTACAAAATTTCACAACAATCGGTCCAGTACTTTCGGAGATTATCTGTCTATTAAAAATCCGGGACGGCAGACAGACGGACAGACGGACAGACGGACAGACGGACAGATGGACAGGCGGACAGACGGACAGACGGACAGACCGAAGGAAATGGCAGACCTATTTCTTTGTCTTCTAGGGGTCATGAAAGATCGAGAAAACGTAAAAGTAGAGAGTCGGCCGATGGACTCGATTACAATACTTCCTTTGCTTACGCTCGGGAAGTAAAAAAAAGGATAATGTACAATATATAATCAAAAATAAACGTTGCAATAAACTATGCTATTTAAAGAAAAATCAGTTTTAAAAACACAAAGAAATCTATTTACAAAAAATATTAAAAAAAAAACTAGAATAAAGGGGAAAGACAATTGAATCGCATTGTTGAAGTTACTTGATTGAAAATGCACTGTAAAACCACAGTATATGTAAAACTATCTAATGCACGACGACTTGACTGTCCCCAACACACAAAAAAGTACCGTTAAGAATTAATTCTGTTTTAACAATAATATCAAAAACCTAAGTTTTTTAAGTTTGCCTCAATTTATTGCACTGAAAAGAAAAACCCGTTAGAGTGCATGGATTAATGGAAATGCAATCACTTTTTCGTCTATGGGCAATAGCAAGCATTTGGCTATTATTAAATTTAAGGGATTACAGCTTGAAGCAGCTAAATATGCTAAATTTACTTGAATCTAATGGATAATCGTAAAATGGTTACATTGACAAAAACGTACAGCCTATCAGGAAAATCTCGTTGTCAGTACTGTTTACAATGAACCGAAATGTGTATGTGTAAATAGTAAGTTACCAAAAAGTATCGTAGTGTTACAGGCATCTACCTGGATATAATATCCAATATTATGTTATGTGTGTATATATGAATTCATTGTGTTTTTTTAACTTACAAAGAAATCTGCTTGTTCTAATATGCAAACATAATATTGTAATTAGTCAAAATTTGTTTAGGTGTGGTCTTGGCGGCATAACTTCTATTTTTGAATTCTTTTTCAGTTGTCAGATTTGATGACATTTCCATGTTGGAGATTTTTTCACTCGTTTCCTTTAGCATTTCTTTAGTTTCGCACATGTGTTTTGTATTTGTTTCAAATCTAGAATAAAATTATGTTCATTAGCATTAGTTCATAAAAAATTTGCAGTAACATACCTTTGCAATATTTTATAGCGCCTCATTTTCAAAAACATTCACCGTAAGTTCTTCATAATCAGTGGGAGTATCTTCAGTGATTAATGGTGGTCTTTCCAGCTTATCTGAAAAAACTGCTTTTATTATCTACGTACAGTTATCAAAAATAACAGAAACACGTAAAAATTAAAATGATTACTTTATTAGATATTAACTTACCTAGTATAAATAAGTACAACTCACACTGAATGGCATAAATTTTCACACAACTGCGTTAAAAATGAAGTGAGTAACGGATACACGAGAAAGTTTCGGTGGTTGAGAACCAACTGGAAATATTGGAATGCTTCACTGTGAAATGCAATAAACATAAATACCGAAAAAAGGGAAAGTTCGAATGCACACCCCAAACATCTGATGTGTATTGAATAGTAAATACGGATAAGAATAAATTTAATAAAACTGAATATTAATCACTCTCGAATTTTTTTGGTAACCGTCATCACTTCATAAACGTCTTTATAAAATGAAAATTCGACGAAGGAATTCTTCAAAACCTTGTCCCGTTTTAGGGACAATGGACAAAGAATTTTTATGATTTTGTTTGTGTCGTTGGGTCTTTTCGCTCAACCCAAGATGTTCTATTTATAATTTGCCAAGCAGGTACTTACAAAATAACACTCTCAGAGTAAACAAGTTTTCAGAAATAATTATTTCATTAGAAATTATTAGAATGAAAAAACTAGTCTTTGGTGTATTTCTAATAAAGCCGTTGTATTTTTTGCTCTAAATATAATTAAGCATTATGAAGGCCACTTTTTAAAGAATACGACGACCCACGTCTAATTGATCATATAATCTATAAAAAATGACGAAGAAAGGACGGCCTTTTGACGTCATTAATTGACGTCAGAAGTAAGTCATAAAAATCTCGTCAAATTCACGTGATTTTTTGGGCGAATGACGTCGCCGACGAGTTATGACCAAAAATTGACGTGAATTAGACGACAGTCTGCTGCTTGGGATGGTAAGTATTTAACTACGACAGAATTTTTCTGTACAGTACTTTTTCTCTATGAAGTTCTGCGGGATGACCAACTGTGTAGATTTACAGTACTACGAAACTTGTAAGGTACTATTGCTAGTTGGAAGAGATATTGATAAAATTGAATAATATCAGGAGATGCCAAATGCTACAGTGAACTAGTACTTGTAATAATAATACACTTTATTCGAACATCTCCTACATATCAGTAAACTCTTATATTATCGAGTGATTTCGTCAAGTGGTAGCTAAAAAAACATCTGCTATGACATTTCAACAATCTTTTGAAGATCGATATCTCTACAGGTCAAAGTGTGCCAAAATTATACTACAATAAGATAAACACTAACCTATTATAAAGCATAATATATAAATATAAACTATGATAAAATCATTTAATACAGTATTATCACAAAAAGCAAAGGAGCCTCGACTGAAACAAAGCTTCGTCATGGTTTCTGTACTATTGGCAACCCTTTCCTTACTGGTATCCCTCCAAGGCATCACTTCTGATCAATCAGATGTAGGCCTAAACACGGTAAGTACCATTCAGCACGACAATATCCATCTAACTACCCACCAAAGGTCGAAATGATCGAAAACCATGGCTACCCGTGCGAAAATCACTACATTACAACAGAAGACGGCTACATCCTGACCTACCAACGCATACCACACGGCAAAAACGATGACGGTTCTGGCCAAAAACCCGTAGTACTTCTAATGCACGGTTTATTGTCATCATCGGCTGACTACGTCAACATGGGACCTGATCGTAGTCTTGCCTACCTTCTTTCCGATATTGGGTACGACGTATGGTTGGGTAATTCTCGTGGAAACGCGTGGTCCAGAAACCACACCGATCCAGAAGTACTAGCCGACGCTGAGAAATTCTACGACTTCACCTAGCACGAAATCGGCTACTACGACCTACCAGCTGCTATTGACCATATTTTGGAAATGACTGGGAATGACGGGTTGTACTACGTCGGGCATTCGCAAGGGTGCACTTCCTTCATGGTTATGGGGTCAACCAAACCAGAATACAACGATAAAATTAAACTAGCGTCTTTGATGGGACCCGCGGGCTTCATGGAGCATCAGTCGAGCTCATTGCTTAAAGTTCTAGGTAACCACATAAACGAAATTGAAAAATTAATGAAGAAATACAAGTTTTTCGAACTTCCTGACCCCAAACTATTACAACAACTGGCTTTCGGTCTTTGCACTGTACCAGAAAACTATCAACTTTGTGTAAATTTCCTTGCGGTGGTTGACGGTGAGGATAGTGCTCAATTGCAACAAGTAAGTCAAGTGTTGTCATAGAAATTGTCTCATTTTACAATTTTAGGAAGACTTTGCTTTAATTCTTAGTAACGCTCCGTCCAATGCGGGTAGCAAGCAGTTCATTCACTATGGTCAACAAATCAAAAACGGTACTGTCATACT